TAATGGGAGGGAAGGAAAACTTTATAATACAATAAATAATCTTAAATTCTACTTTCATAAATTGGCTTCTGAACTATTAACAATTACAATAGCAAATTTTCTCATAATAGAAAGTCATCTAAGATGGACTTCACTAAAAGATACAATACTTCCATTTTTAGTTTACCAACTGCTTACATGGCCAGTTGCCTAAAATAGTCATCATAAAAAGAAAAACTATACAATGATTTTAATAACTCCAGCTAGTATAATATCATAGAAATATTTCATACTTTAATTAGACATCTCATGATTTCAATGCATTTTTTCCTGAAATCATTCAGATTAAAATGTAATTCTTAAGAACTGTGGTGATTGCTTTTAAATTGCTTGGTTTATTGTGTTATAACAGGTTAAATATCTTAGCTTTACTGAACAGCAACACAGTATTGTATGGAAGAAAAAATATTTGGGCAGTGACAATACACTACTTTTAAACAGCTGAGTTTGTTAATTGAAACTAATAATAATATAATTAATCAATTACTTTTACAAAATGGCAACAGTCTGGTGCACTAGAGATACTTTTTTTTTCAAACAGTGTTGCCATATCTTGCTTTCAAACTGTTGAGTTTATTAATCAAAAACTTATTAAATTAGCACAAAATATGAAATTAATAAAAAAATTCAAAATTTGAGCTTTTAGGTGCAAATGTTGCAGTGGAGGACTACATGTGTTCAGAATTTGGTGGCTCTAGTAACATACATGCATACAGATTCTACATTATTTAATAGAAGAGACATATCAATCCAGAGCTTATTTATTTTCAGGAACTTCTTTTGATACAGCTATAGAATAACTTTTGATATACGTGTAGAAATTTTACTTGACAGACTCCATCAATGAATACGTGTACTTGAAATTCATTGCCTGAAGAGATATTTATTTATTTATTTAATTTTCACATACAACAGTTAAGATTAATTATCTATATTATCTATTTTGTTATGTGTATATAAATAAAGAGACAGTAAAGTGTCAATTTAAAATGAATCTAACAAAACTCATTGATTTCACTTTTTTCTTCCTGCACTGTTAATGTCAAAATTTCAGTCAGGTGAAGTTCAATTAAACAGAGATTTAACAGCCATTAATTATAACGTTAATAAAATGTAATAGTTGAAATAAGTAAAAATACCAAAAAGATTGTTAAGTTTTCTAATAGTATATTGTAAAATAGTGTTAATAACATACATTTATTCAAATACAGAATTTCAACAATTTCTTTTTAAAAGTACCTTAGAAATTTTTCAAAATTTTAGTTGAAAACACATATACATTTTTAAACAATATATACACTTAAACAAGGGAATTAATCCACTTATCACGATTCTCTCTGAAGTGAAGAAACACAAATAAATAATTGCAAAAACATATCACAGAACGATCTTGTGAAAAATGAAAGCAATGGTATAACTCCATGAAAACTGTGAAATTAAAAAAAAAAAAAAAAAAAAAAAAAAAAAAAAAAGGTAACAAAAACTGAAAAACAAATCAGAAGAATTGTAAAGATATGTTAAAATACAGAAAGAATCTATAAGATAATTTCAATGAATATTTCTTGAACGATAAAACAGGAATGATTTTCTTTCTTTAAATAAAAGCCACAACTTATATACAGTACTAATAAGAAATACTTATAACACAAACACACTTGAAAAAAAAAAAGTTTCAAATAAAATTATTGAAACCATTATTTTTTTAATCACACACATTGGAACTCTTAAATTTTCGAAACAGGGACAGTTCTATGAAAGTATTTCCAATATCCAAATTTGTGCTAAAAGAAAATTATCAATTAGATACCTAAATTTAAACTCTTCATTATGCTTGCAGATGATAATTTATGGCAAGTAAATGCAATTTATTTTTTATAGAATAAATTTTGAAAGAAAGGAAAATGAAGCTCATATATAATCAGTATTATTTTCTATAATTTTAAAATAGGCCTATATCAAGAAGATAAATGAAAGTATTTCCAATATCCAATATGTGCTAAAAATTATTTATTAAATGCCTAAATTTAAACTCTTTAACTATGTTTGCAGATGATAATTTATGGCAACAATTGCAATTTATCTTTCATAGAATGAATTTTGAAAGCCAGGAAAATGGAGCTCATTAATGAGCACTGTTGCATTATGATTTTCTGTGATTTTAAAATAGGCCTATATTAAGAAGAATGCCTTTGATGTCTACAGTTAGCATAAGGAAACGAAGTTCCATCTGCTGCAAGTGCATTCAGGTAATTTAGAAAATTTCGTAGAACTTGAAAGAACATCCAAATACAGTCGAACACTGCTGTAATGAAGCTGTATCAGGGGACCAAGAAAGCTTTGCTCTGTCCAATCCAATAAGAAAAATGGATTATCTCACAAAAACGTGTAAAAAACTGAATGATGAATAATGAAAAATACCTGACCAATATCATCACATCTACGGAAAAAAAATCTTTTTAAGATTTAATTGCAATTATTATCAAGCACAATTATTAAATTTGCTGTTCCTTCTTTTCCTAATTTCTTTTTCCAATCTCTCCAAAATTTTTAACAAAATCATTGGCTTTTCGTCTGAAGCATTTGTTCAAATATTGCAAGATTATGACTTTTTTTGAATGGTAAACCATTTCAGCAATGCTTTCCCAACATGCCTAGGCTCTGACTTTTTGAATTTTCTCTATATATCCATATTTTCCCCATGACCAGAAATTATAGAGATCCAATTTTTTCATAAGATACCAACTGTAGAATGGATAAAGTGTACATATGGATCCATTTTGTATTTTTTCAATAGTGTATGAATTATCTTAAATTCAGAAACTTTACACTTACAGCTGGTTATGTAGATGAATTCTTGAAACTGAAAAAGCACAAAGAGTTTGGTCAAAGAATACGCAAGAGTTTTGTTCTTCTGAAAACAATTAAAACGGAAGATAATTTCATCACTGGCACATCTATTTTCCCCTCTGAATGGAAGGCACTATTTTGTCTTTTTTTTTTTGACATTGTTCACTCCTAAGGCCAGAAGTGGTGGCCATTTAATTGTGGAGGCAATTTATAGGTGACCACCGTTACCTCCTATGAAGGGACGAACAATTACAACCATGTCTTCTCCGGGATTCAAACTGGGCCTTCGGTAGTCAGCTCCCCTAACCACTACACCATCTGGGCGGCAGTGTCTTATCTAATGTCCAGTAACAACATAATAATTTTCACCAAGATACATAGGATTACAAAATAAAAATTTAATAATCTTTGTAAAGAATATCTGTTTTGCAAAAAAATAAAGAATGCAAAACTCTATTTGGTGGGTAGAATTTGTGGAGCATTAATACACAAAAAAACGAACAGTTGCGGATAAAAAATTTTCAATTCCTAACAGAAGAACCAAATGTAAAGTTGGAAGTTGGTACGATTCACTATATCCTCTTGCTTTGAATAGAAAAATATTTCAGAATTTCCATCATTGCTTCGGCCTTGAACAGAGTTCTACCAACTCAATCAAAGAATTTGAATGGAATTAGAGAAACCATTCTTCTTCTTCTTCTTTTTTTTTTTTTTTTTGTTGTTCAGTGATCAGTACACTATAAGCTATCCCAAGATATTCTTATCATAATTCCACATTCTCCTAGAGTTGGGTGTCACATCTGTCTCACATAGCCTTTGTTTAGAACAAAGAGAAAAGTCAGGGTGAAAATAACGTAAAGTTGTTTTCCTTTATTAATGGGGTGTGGATTCTAATATCCTAAATGTGATTGACTTTAAAAGTCAGTAATTTTTTTATTAAAACTTGCAGTTCCTGGCATTACAAAAAAAAAGTTTGATGGAAGGTATTCATAAAATTCCATTATATCCAAATTTTCATACTCCTGGAGGCTAGGAAATTGAATGGAACGTATATGTTCATTCATTGTATCCAGAAGGTTTGTTCATTATACAGTCAGAAGTCGTTAATCCGGACTCGTCGGGACTTCGGCGATTCCGGATTATCGATTTTTCCGGATTATAGATCATCAGTTTAAATATGGTAAGATGGCATGCAGAAATTATAAAATTAAAAATATGAAACCGTAATTAATGAAATAAAGAACAATTATGATCTAAAGGGTATCAAAATTTACAAAAAAAAAAAAAAAAAAAAGCTTCATATTTATTTGTTTACTTTATTAATAAACATTTCTTTCAATGTAAGTTGTTTAAGTTGCTTCGTTTTTTATGTGATAATACTTTCCCTTTAATTGTATAAACAGACATAATTTCTTGTTCAGTTACAAAGTTCCGCTGTTCAAGTCCTATAATTGCTGTGTCGCGAATACCGACTAATTCGTCAATCGAAATTTTGTCGTTTTCAAAAACATCTGTGTCACTTTCTTCACTATTGGAAGCGAATTATAATGACGAGGAATTTGATTTAAATCATATCAAAGACGGAGTACATCGAGATAAAATACTACATTTAGTAAGGAATTATAAGATAAATAAAATAAAAAAATCTGCCCTGAAGATAAGGATAGTGCTGACAGATCAACTTCCAATTCATCGCGCGCCGAGGCGTCCCCCCTCCCCCGCCACAGATCAGCGTGAAATTGATAAACAGATTCCGGAATGGTAAATAAACACAGGATATGCCTTTATCCATTTTTTGCAGCAATTCCACTGTTTGTTTAATGGACTTTGAAACATACTTTCGCTTTGTAGATCTTTTACATATTAGTAAATATATATCAGAAATTCTATTTAACATAATCGAAAGTTTAAGCTTACTTTTATAAAATTGCTCTAGCAGTCTGCAAAAAATAATAAGCCGGATCCAATTCGAAGATTAAGGAACAACGCAATCTGCAACATTAACTGAATTAGATAATTTTTACCTTATACCGTCCGTTATACATTAAACGCGCATTCGTAAACGTATTTTGCGCATGTGCAGACCTATATTCGCAGACGTAAAGGTCTTATGCGCATGCGTCAACGCAACGCATGCGCAGAAAGTTTGTAGCTTTGAGGTCCGGATTATAGATCATTCCGGATTATGGGTGTCCGAATTAACGACTTTTGACTGTATAACATTATTGTATCAGAGTATATAACATTATTGTATCCAGAGGTTTGTTCATTACTATATTATTAGTAAGACAGATTCATTATAGCAGGGTTCAACTGTAAATATATCACAGAAATCAAATTGAAGGGAAAAAACTGAATTTGCATCAATTTTGCATATTAGACATGTTTATAGGCAAATCTCTTCATACTCAAGTCATGATATGTGATCCTGCCACTGACTTGCCAAACTGCCAATTCTGAAAACAGGTAATTTCCTCACTAACAGAGGATTTTTAATTTATTTTTCAAATTATAATAAATCTTACCAACATCATAAAATTTTAAAAATAAATTAGGATAATTTAAAAAACAACACACATTTCTTTACAATATTGATCTCATGAATTTTCTATTATATTATTAATATGCCTAATTGATCATTTTTCATGATCATTCAATAAAAGACATTTTTAACATCATATATTACATCAGCGATCTTCAGACTGCATTATATGGAACCTTGAGCTCCATGTAATTTTTCTAAGGGTTCCACAACACCAAAATTTGGAAGATATTCTGGCAATGATGTGCATTATGCTTTTAGTTAGTTTATTTATTTTTAGACGGCAGCATAAGATTGGTTATTGCTTAAATCACTTCTTTTTCCTGCCACTTTATTACAACTTCAAACAGGAAAGCAAGTTAATTTTTTATTTCAAGAGGTGACTGACTATTTCCTTGCATTATTTCCAGACCCTAATGGAAGTGATTAAAGAACATGTAAATGAAGGAAGTATTATATATTCCAATTGCTGGCAAACTCATAAAAACAAAGAATTACAAGGAGTCACTTTTCAACATTTCACAGTAAATCATAAATACAATTTTTAACCTTGTAGATGCAACATCTGGTGCAAATACCCAGAAATAGAACTATGCAGTGGCATAGCTAGAGGGGAGTAAGGGGATACTGGTTCCTGGTACAGCATTTGGGAGGTGTCAAATTGATGTTATGAATTTTTAGAATGAAATGTTTTCCCATCTTGACAAACGACAAGAGGCACAAAATCTTCAGCTGTTCCCAGGTGCTGAAAATTCTAGCTACAGCTGTGAGACTATGATGTGTGGCCAAATGGCAAAACAAAAGGGATTGACTCATCAACACTTATTCATATTTAGGAGAATTTATGAGGTAGCAATATGTGGGATAACTAAAGTATCTGATTCTTTAATAGTAACACTTGCCTTCAGAAATGTAAATGAATGCTATGTCTCCAAAGAAAAATAAATATTATTTCAGGTTAAAGGTAAGTAAATGTTAATAATTGTTAAATAAATGTTATTTATTATGTTCATATATATATTATTTTTAATTTTTCAGAATGTTTTCTAATATTCGCTAAATCATTTAAAAATTTTACTGATCTTCACATCAATAAAGTTTGAAGACCACTGCATAATATTATGTAGTTCAGCTACATATTGAATTTTCACACACCGCATATCAGTAAGTTCGGTAAATTTGTTTTCACAGGATCACTGGGGGAGGAGGATTGGCAAATTTTTAATGGAAAAAATTGTTGTTCACTTATTAATCATACTTAATTGGTAATGGTCCGTGGAAATATGCAAATGTCTGCTGCACACAAATTATGACAAAAGTGAGACAGATGTAATACAGAAGTCTGAACACGGATTTTATCCCGTATAAGGTAGCTACGGTGGCAATAATGTGAATGGCATGGGATGCACTCTCGTACTTCAGCCTGCAAAATAGTTAGAAACATTTCAATTACCCATTTGTATAGCGAATGGAGATATAAAAATTTAGACATTACATGTTAAAATGATTATATTACTACCAAAATTAACAGAAAGCAGTACCTTTGCTATTTTGTACAGTTCATGATAGTAACATAAAACTTGTACACTTGTGGCAAAAGTGAACCATGCAACAACTACAACTTTTTGGTGTTGCCAGATTGTGTGATTTTTCCTAAATTTGCTGCCTCTGACAAATCTGTGTTCCTAAAACTTATCTCTATGAAATTGTATTAATTTTCTGCTGCTCTGTGATTTTCTTACTCTGCTTTTGTTATCTTAATTTTTTTAATATATCATAAAATGTGTGAATGTTAATATACTATCTCTATTAAAATTTAATTGTAATAAAAAGTAACATATTAATTAGGCTTAAATAAAAGTTAGCAATCTTGTAACTGTCACCAACAACTGCATGAGCACTAGTCACCAGCGTTTCCAACTGTTTGATTATTTGGATTTTTTAATTTTTTGGTAAACTGTAAAGAAGAGTTCAAAGTCAGATTATAGCTGCTGTGTTAACTTAAGTATGAATTATTAGTAACATAAAAAATACACCACCACCTTTGGAAATTCTTAGCTTAAAATAATTAGGCTTGAGAATTAATGAAAAAGAATGAAAACAGACAAGAGAAAAGCTTATTGCAATCTAAGTAACTGTGAAATGAGGGCATATAAAAAATAAAAAACAAACTAAAAACAATTAGTACAACAATGTACAACTGAGAAATCAAAGGAAGAAATGGATATTTAAAAAATGGAAAATCAGGCATTATGATTTTAAGATTTTCATCAAGAATAATGTGCATAATTAACACAACCAAGAATCAAATCACAGTCCTTAACTTATGACACCCAAAGATTGAATTTGTGATGACATCAAAGTTATGTGATTGCGTATGATTTTGTAAACCTATGATATCAACCAAGTGATGAATCACATAAAAATATCATGCCATCTCTTATTTACCTATATAATATAATTAAATCAAAGCTTACCTGTTTAAACATGGAGTAGGTAACTGCCATAAAAATGATGAACTGACTATCAAAAGAAGACACGGCAAACAATATGGATCATTTGGGACTCTGAGTGAGTACTCCAGGCTTTTCAACCAGGAAATGAAGCTGGGAGACACCAAAACAGTTACGAGTATCCATAACAGAAGTAGAGTGAAATGAAAATACCACCTAGATGTTCCTAAATTAGAACCGCGTCGCTCTTCTTCTGCTTTGCATCTTGCATGCATAGTGAGCACCTATGAAAAAGATGTATAAAATTATTTATCAGACATACTTAATGTTTAATATATTTATGTAGGCAAAGGGTAAATATTTGCTCAGATGTTAAGCATCATAAAAATCACTTATCACTAAGTCTCAAAAATCATTTATTACAAGCATTAGTATAAACCCTTAAGTATGAGTTCATGGAAAAATATTGGTAATTACAAGGGATATTATATTAATATTAATTCAAGGGGCAAATATTTGCAAATTTATCTGAAAGTTAAATATCACACAAATCAATGAAGTCGTTACGAGTTTTAGTATAAATTCTTATGCACATGCAAGGAGTATTACGTATATACAAGGGTAAATATTAATAAATTTACCTAAATGTTAAGTGTCATAAAATGACTTCAGCCAATTTAAGTTTTAGTATTAACCCATAAGACCGAGTGCATGAAAATATATTAGTTAATTAAACGGGCAAACATTTGTAAATTTACCTGAATTTTCAGTGCATTGAGAAAAATTAGCAAAAGCAAGGAGTACTATATCAATATTAGTAGATGCAAAGGGTAAATATTAGTAAATTTCATCTGAATGCTCAGTATCATAAAAATGACTTCAGTATCAAAAGTTTTAGTACTAATTCTTTAGTACATATGTGGATAATAAAATATTCATAAATTCAAGAGGTGACTATTTACCTGAACATTAAATTGTCCAAAAATCACTTATATCATTAGTAATTTTTAGTATTAACACTTAAGAACAAGTACATTAACAAACATTAGTAAATGCAAGGAGTAAATATTTACCCATATGTTAAGCATCATAAAAATCACTTAAGTATTAACCCCAAAACATGTGTTTATAAAGGAATATTAGTAAATAGAAGAGGCATCATATTAATAACAGTAAATATATTGGACAAATATTAGTAAATTGATTTGAACACATAGTGTCAGAAAAATCATTTAAGTCATTGTAAGTTTTAGTATTATATCTTAAGCACATCAGAGCATTATGAAAGATTAGCAGATCCAAGGGGTAAATATTCATTTGCACACAGCTGTCATAAAACGAAGTCATTAATGTTTGATTATTAACTCTTAAGCAGATGAGTGCAATATGAAATGTTACAAAATTTGAAGAATAAATATTTACTCAAATGTTAAGCATCATAAAAATAATTCTAATCATTAGTAAGTATATGAATGCATAAAGAAATATTATTAAATGCAAATATATTAATATTGGTAAATCATCTGAAGAGTTAGTGGCATAAAAATCACTTAAATCACTGCTAGCTTTAGCATCACTTCAACCCTTAAGCACATCAGGACATTTTGGAATATTAATAAATGCAAGAGTAATTTTTTTTTAATGTAAAATGTCATAGAGATGTGAGGATGCTTGTGTTATATTTCATTCAGAAAGATATTCAGTGTGTGGTAAAATTGCTTTTCCTTAATAAATTACTTCCAAGAAAATAAGTGGCACTGAAATATTTTTTATTTATACCACGCAATAAATGACCTTGAAAGGTACATTGATAACCAAGGCACAGGATAATGTACTCTTTTTTTTTTATTTTACACTGCTTTTCTGTTTGAAATACTTTTTTATTTGAAATTGAATTTTGAGTAATTTATAGATGCACTTATGGGTGAAAAACCACATAACAAAAAATTATTTTAAATTATTACAGATTAATGAATTATGAAATGTGAGGATATTTGTTGACTGATCTGTCTGATGGAAAGGCATTAAAAAATGGCAGCACATAAAATAGATAACATGTTAAAATAATGTGATGAATTACATCCATGAAAGGAAATAAGTAACACTGAAATCGTTTTTATATATGCCATGCAATAAATAATCTTGAAAGTAACACTGATAGTCAAGGCACAGGATAATGTATTTGATTGTTTATACGAAACTGTTTCTAACTGGAGTACTTCATGGATGTGCTTATGGGTAAAAAACTATAAAACAAAATAATATTTCAAATTATTATATATTAATGAATTATTTAATTCATAAATGTGAATTTGTTGACATTCAACATTTATTGCTTAAATTTAAAATTTTAAACATCCAAAACTTTACAGAAATTGTAAAAAATTACAATAATCTTTTTTTGTCAAAAAAAATTTCAAATAAAATTGAAATTAATTTTTTATATTAAAACAATTAAAATAGAAGTTATAACATTGCTTTTGCATTTACATTCAAAAAAGTGCTATGAAAATGTGAGAACTTTAGCTCCTTGTCCCCTGTAGCAGCCTTCGCAACAGGAAACAGCACTGGTGCATTTCAGGCTCAAGAAAGTGCGATTTGTTGCCAAATGTTTTAAACGAATCCACGAAAACTGAATCAATTATGAAAGACATTAAATTGGCAATTCAATCAACCAGTTGCTTAATAATAAAAATATATAGACAGAATTTAATATAAATTTTTCATTTATAATACAGTCAAAAGTCTTTAATCCGGAATGATTTAACGTCCATAATCCGGAATGATCTATAATCCGGACATCAAAGCTACAAGCTTTCTGCGCATGGGTAAATGCATAATGCGTTTACGCATGCGCATAAAACCTTTACGCATGTGCATAATACGTTTACGCATGTGCGTTTAATGTATAACGGACTGTATAAGCTAAGCTAAAATTATCTAATTATCTATTTCAGTTAATGTTGTAGATTGTGTTATTCCTTAATCTTCTAATTGGATCCGGCTTATTATTTTTTGCAGACTGTTAGAGCACTTTTATAAAAGTAAGCTTAAACTTTCGATTATGTCAAAAAGAATTTCCAAAGGATCTATAAAGCGAAAGCATGTTTCGATGTCCATCAAACAAAAAGTGAAATTAATGCAAAAAATGGATAAAGGCATATCCTTTGTTTCTCTAACCATTCTGAAATCTTTTTATCAATTTCATGCTGCTCTGTGGGTGGGAGGGGGGGAACGATCGCGGACGCGCAATGAACTGGAAGTTGATCTGTCAGCACTATCCTTATCTTCAAGGCAGATGTTTTTATTTTATTCGGCTTATAATTCCTTACTAAATGTAGTATTTCATCTCGATGTACTCCATCTTTGATGTGATTTAAATGAAATTCCTCGTCATTATAAATATCACGAATACACATCAAATAGTTTTCTGGTTGCAATTTTCTAATTTTGACTATGCGTAATGTATGCTTTACGCATGCGCGCATTGAAAGAAATGTTTAATAAAGTAAACAAATAAATATTAAGTTTTTTATTTTGTAAATTTTGACACCCTTTAGATCATAATTGCTCTTTATTTCATAAATTATGGTTTCATATTTTTCATTTTATAATTTCTGAATGCCATCTTACCGGATTTAAACTGGTAGATGTATAATCCGGAAAAACTGATAATCCGGAATCCCCGAAGTCCTGACGAGTCCGGATTAAAGACTTTTGACTGTAGTACATAATACAATTTTATCAGCAATTTATTAAAAATAATAAAATAATCAATAGAACTTATTTAATACATACATTAATTATCATATTTAATACAGTTATGTAATAAACTTATTTAAAATAATGACATACATAAATATGCCAGAATATTTTATTTATTATTTGAATTTTTTAACAATTTATTAAAAAAACACATTATATAAGCATGTATTAAAAGCTTGACCATCCCAAAAGCTCAGGAAATGTCCATTTCTGGATACATGAAAATTCTGGATAGTTGAATGTATAAAAAACAGAATTCACATTAGAAAAGGAAAATAAATGGTGAAACGTTTTCCACTAAAATTAAAATAACAATCATCTTACTTGTTACCCTCTTGAATATAAAAAGCCTACATTTTAAAATTATATAAAATTTCCAGGGAAGAAAGAAGGAATGTATTTCAGACATAAAAATCAACATATTTCATAGACTTCAAACATAAAAGGAAAACATATATGATTACAAAATCCTGCCAAACATAAAAGCTGGCAGAAATGTCTCCGATCAACATTCGAGCAGAAGTTTAAACGAAGAGATAATTCTTTAATTAGTCAAATAATAAACGGATAGAAATTATGGATATAGCATATAAAAAACTTAAACCCCTCATCATAATTTTTCATGGTACATTGCCATTGTTTATCTGGTTGCTAAGTCACGTATCATGGCATTTTTTATGCTCAAGTTCAGTAACTTTTACAATACTTCACTACATGCTGTCCCAAATATTACTCATTTTTTACAAAGTCTGACAATAAATACAACTTATATCCTTTTTTTTTACAAAAATTAAACTTATTTATAGATAATTAAGTGAGTTTACATTAACTTAAGCAAAATGAACTTTTTATGACTGCATCCTTAAGTCATGTTCATCTATTATTGACACTCAATTAAACTGTTTGGCAACAATGTATATATGTATATATGTAACGAGCTCTAAAATTACATAACAAATCTTTCATTACTAAATTTTTCAGGGAAAAAAATTTTCTAAAATTTAAAAATATTATGGTTACTAGAGCTCTCCAGTTAGTTAAATGTCAGATAGGTGGGCTTTTAATGTACCAAAAAAAAATTTTTTTGCACACTCTTTTTCTAATGATGGAAGATTGACAATAATAAGCATACTGAATATTTTACACCGAAAAGAGATTATACTTACGCAGTGCATTTACATAGAAAAAAGTAGGATCCTTAACTACTTGATTTTCACACATTAATTATGATATTTACAAGTTAATTATGATTATTCATACATTAAAATTATGGAAAGTGATTTTCGAATATTAACATTTGATGCGCAAATCAGTAACTCATTGTTTCTTTGCTTCAATTTGCCCAGGTGCAAATTGGTAAGAAACTGTTTTTTTCTCAACAATATAGAAAGGTAACAAATCCCCTTTCTCATCAAGGCTGCTACAGAAGACAAGCACTGAATTTTATTTAAAATCTTTAGGCAAGGGAATAAAATGAAAATACCATAAAAAGGTACCTTGCATAAATGAAACACAACGGCAAAAATACAGGCAAGGGAGCCAGAGAAAACAAGAGCAGTGGCTGCCAGAAAAGAAGACCAAATAACCATTAGCTTAGAAATCCTTACTGGACCCTTTAAAGTTTGTTCTAAGGGAATTTCAGTTGCATTGAGGATATTTCTGGAAAGAGAAAAAAATCAGACAGATTTCAATGCATGCATAACTTTAATGAATGTAAAAATACAAAAAGAATGAAACCTTAAAAAGAAAAAAATTAACATTTTGTGTGTTACCTTTATTTATTAAATATCATGTTCTTCACCCTTAAACCATAAAATTCAGTTCACCAGCAATATAGCAAAATAATTTCAAAATAAGCATATCTTTAGAATTCCCAATATTCAGTCTCGCAGGCGAGAGATAAAAAGGTTCCCCCCCCCCCCCCATAGAGCAGAGCCGTGCCTACATATTTTTTCATCTGAGGCAAAACAGTAAATGTGTACCCTTGTATACAATACAATAATTCCCCCCCCCCCGTAAAGTGTTGCCATAGCTCGCTTTGAAATCATTGAGTTCATTAATTAAAAATTCGTCAAAGTGTTACAAAATATGAAATTGATAATAAAACAAATTCCAAATTCGGGCTTTCAGATGCCCATATTGGGTGAAGGATTATGTTATTCAAAATTTGATGGCTCTAGGTACTGTTGTTTTATCACAATGTGAGAAACATACATACATTCATTCAGATTCTTCATTATTTAATTTCTTTATATATAACACAGGGCGATAATATAGGGTGGCAACAATTTAAAAAGCAAATCAATGATTATAGTGAATCGACGCAAAATACCCAAATGAAATTAATAGTTCTTCTGGGCAAATTGCCCCTTTGGACTAATAATTTTAATGAGTCCCATAAATATCATTTCATTATAATATTTAATATTTCTGATTAGACATATCATGATTTAAATGCACTTTTTGAAAATCAATGGGGTTAAAAAGCAGAACATATATTTTTTAGAACTGAGTTTATTGCTTTTTAGTCAATTGGTTTACTACTCAGTAACAGAAAGATTCAATGCAAAATTCTAAAACAAAATTAATAGCCCTTCTGAGCTAATGCGCTAACAACCAATTAATTAGGCTTTGTCCAAAAAAGAAAGGAACAATTACTCAAATACTTAATCAGTTGAAAAAAAAAACTATCTATATAAAATTAAAAAAAGGAAGACAAAAAATTGGGTATTTATGTAGTATGCAGTTTACTGCTTTTATTTATTTCATAGATGGCACCACTAAAAGGCTTTTTTAAATATAGAACTAAATACAAATACATAAATGAAAAATGATTCCATTAATTAATTTAATAACACATTGTACTTTTAATTCCACTAAACTTAAAGGTTAAAGTTACTTATAAAAGATGAGATGGTATTTTGCGAGGTTTTTCTTTTTTGAAAAGATCGCCAAACCAGCAATATTTATCGTAACTCAGCAAACAATATCAACATTTTGAAAAGAAAACAGTTAAAGGATGATTAAAAATACAATTTACATTTAATACTATGATGCAAATAAAAAATATAAAAATGTTACATTGAATGTAATACATAACACACCGATATACTATTGTTGTTCTTCCCAGAAACACAGAGATTAATCTTTGCTTAAAATTAATTTCTGCAATTTTCTCCACAAACACAGAAAATTGCAGAAATTCACCATTGCGCACATTAAATATTACATATGTCAGAGGTTCCCTATTAATTTCGACCCAAGCACATCTTTCATCATCGTTAGAAGATCATTGCCCTCTCCTTTCCAAAACTTGAAAAATAAGCATTTACCTAGATGAAGTTTTAGCATGTTTTATAAATTAAATAAACAACAAGAGGTGTAGAAAACATTGGTAAATACCAAAACTTAAACAAAAAGTTTTTTTCTTTTAGTATATATATTCATAAATTAAAACTACATATTTAACAGTTGAATACAAGACTGACTGCATTTTCCTCTCTGAAACTATGAAATTCCAGTGGAAGGGGATTTCCTCCTTTCCCTAGTTGAGAATTTCTGACATATATTACATAGGATTTTTATATTACACACATTTTTTTTTCTCCCTATGTACCCAGGGTTCTGTGTTCACTAAAAAAATTTAAAAAATCAGAGAACTGCACAAACATTGTATCAAATACAGTTTCAACATTGCACATATTAAACATTACATATATGATACATTATTGTTGTAATATCTCACAGTATGGAAATACCTCCACGATCTCATTAATTCCATTTATCCGCTCCCCAAAAAATAAGAAATAAATAAAAACATGGTTGCCAAAATAAAATTATTATGAAACAAAGGAAAAGTAGGGTTACTAGGATAAAATCATTATCTAACACAGAAATTCTAAACTTGGCATGCTTCTTATATTAGCTCATTTATATTCGAGTAGTTTTATAAAATAAAAAATCTGAAATTCAGCATTGTGAAAAGTTTTTATCTTTTGCTAGAGGCCATTACAGATACCATTCATCACTACAATATCCTTGTGCATAACACTTTTTAATTGAAATTTCTTTTTCATTCAAGAAATTGAGAATGGGTTCTTTCAAACTTTCAAAAGAATGACCTTTTAGAGTGCAAACTTGGAGAAATGTTTCTTTAATTATAAAATTTATGGGATCTGAATTATCATCTCTTGCATTATGAACATGTCTTAAAACGACACTCATTTGATCTTTCTTTAATCTATCTCGAGTGTTGCCTAATAATAAAGAATAAAATTCAGATGCATTTATCTGGTTCACCAAAATTTGTTCTAGAACAGCACATTGAAATAATTCATTTTGCACGGTAGGGGTCAAATATTGCACTCTTCCAACTGGTATTTTGAATCTTGCTTCATAACATCGTCATATTTACTTAATAAGCTAATCTGCAATAAAAAATTGTCATTACAACTAGTATTTATATTACCACTGTGCCTACAAAAGGCTTAATTATAAGTTAAAAACTGAAATAAATTGCCCTTTTCGAATCTTTTATGAAACTCTTCAATAAATTGAAAACTGATACTCAGTCTGCTTTCAAGATTGCCAACTTTTAAAAGAGAAATATGTAAAAAATGCTTTAAGAAAAAGCTAACAACTTATTCAGAGAATAAAAATCAATTTATTCAATTTCCCCCCCCCCCTCATGAAATTGAGCCCAGGATGTAATTCATGATTTTCAGAACAATCGATTAATTACCCAGCCACTAGATGGTATACTGATTTATAAATTAAACATGAAATGCATATTAATTTTGGTCTTCTGTACATTTATTTTATTCAATTGTGTCTCTAAATTCTGTATGTTACATGACATATTTCTTTCCCATGTTTATTTACTTAATTTTATTGTCGATACAAAGTGCGATGAGATAAGGGATTATTGCATTACTTCTGTACTTGCTGTTGCAGTGCAACTGGTAGCACGCCCAACTAGAATTGGAAGATCCTTGGTTTGAATTTCGTATAATTTATTTTCTAGTTTTGCCAGAAAATACATAATGTCTCTACAAATACATTTCTTAAAAACAAAATCTCAATCAAGACAAACTGATGCTTTATTTATGGCCAGAATCAATGCCCCAGTTTTCACTCCTCTTAATTTTGCTGATTTAAAAGTAGAAGAAAGAAAGAGAGGTTAAATTTTCACTTCTTATTATTTTCTAGTGCAAAATTTATGTGGTTATCTTTTGCACTGAAACCCTATAAGCATGTGCTCCCACTGCTTAATTAATTTACCCCTGCCAAAAATCATCATTATTCGAAAAATAATTTTTGCTTTTTACTTCCTTTCTTAGTGTTGTAAATAATGGAGTATACTGAAAACCCCCAAGTTTTCTTTCTTCATTAATAAACAAGCACTGGTGGAACTAGGACCCAAGATCTCTAGTTACGCCAGCTGTTACTGTCATTTTCAGGTTCTTGAAATATGTCGAAAACAGAATCCCTTCTGACTGTCACCAAAATATTAAAAGGTAAACTCTTACAGTTTTCAGAAATTTAGAAATCAGATTTTGTCTTTCAGCTGCAGTTTCTTCTCAATAATATTAATATTTTATTGTGCAATTTCCAAGATACCGCCAGCAAAAATGATGGAATTATATTCTTTGGCAGACGATATGTTTTCTAATACATCCAATTTCTTCAGGTAGATTGACTTCAAATACAGTCAAAAGTCGTTAATCCGGACTCGTCGGGACTTCGGCGATTCCGGATTATCGATTTTTCCGGATTATAGATCATCAGTTTAAATCTGGTAAGATGGCATGCAGAAATTCTAAAATTAAAAATATGAAACCGTAATTTATGAAATAAAGAACAATTATGATCTAAAGGGTATCAAAATTTGCAAAAAGAAAAAGCTTAATATTTATTTGTTTACTTTATTAAACATTTCTTTCAATGTAAGTTGTTTAAGTTTTGCTTCGTTTCATGTGATAATACTTTCTCTTTAATTCTATTAAACAAGACATAATTTCTTGTTCAGTTACAAAGTTCCGCTGTTCAAGTCCTATAATTGCTGTGTCGAGAACACCGACTAATTTGTCAATCGAAATTTTTTTGTTTTCAATAACCTCTGTCACTTTTCTTCACTATCGGAATCGGAAGCGAATTATAATGACGAGGAACTTGTTTTAAATCATATCAAAGACGGAGCATATCGAGATGAAATACTACATTTGGTAAGGAATTATAAGCCAAATAAAATAAAAACATCTGCGCTGAAGATAAGGATAGTGCTGACAGATCAACTTCCAATTCATTGCGGCGTTCCCCCCCCGCCGAGCAGCGTGAAATTGATAAACAGATTTCGGATTTCAAAACATACTTTCGCTTTAGATCCTTTACATATTAACAAATATATATCGGAAATTCTATTTGATATAATCGAAAGTTTAAGCTTACTTTTATAAAATTGCTCTTACAGTCTGCAAAAAATAATAAGCCGGATCCAATTCGAAAATTAAGGAACAACGCAATCATCAACATTAACTGAAATAGATAATTAGATAATTTTAGCTTATACGTCCATTATACATAAAACGCGCACGCGAAAACGTATTCTGCACTTGCGCACACTCATATGCGCAGTCGTAAAAGGTCTTACGCGCACGCGTAAACGCCTATGCGCATGTGTCAACGCGGCGCATGCGCAGAAAGTTTTTAGTTTTGAGGTCCGGATTATAGATCATTCCGAATTATGGATGTCCGAATTAACGACTTTTGACTGTATAGAATTCAGATATCTGCCCACGTACTGCTTTTGTTGAATATAGATTGTGTCTATGTTATCAATGAAAGAGCAAACTGAAACTATAAAATTTGCTGAAGGAAACATCATAATAGGATAAAAAATTAAATAAATCTGAAAAAGGGATGCAAGGTGACAGTACGATTGTGAATAAACAATGCAGTGGAACGGGGAATAAAATGGGAAAAAAAAAAAAAAAAACCCGCTGGAAAACGGAACCTGGCAAAAAAATTTTCAATTTTAAAGAACAAAGAGAAGATAGTGAAGTAAAAACATTCATAAAGTGAAAATGTAAGCATAGAGAAAACAGAAAAATCAGAAGAAGCAGAACTAATGGTATATAATGTGCAAAATATATTACATAACTGCTTTTTGTTTTCAAAATGAAATGATTAGTTGCAATAAATTATGTTGCAATTTTGAACTATCTAACTGTGGCATTCAATTTTATTTCTAATTTTTATAGTATTCGAAAACAGACATAAAACTCTTTTATAATTAATAACATAATGTATTTACAAAATTTAAAATTCAATCCGTACATATAAAATATCAGAGTGGCAACAAATTTATTAATTTATTATTAGCTTTATAATATTAAAAAATGTAATCAAATCTTTCCTATCTACAGCTATGCTACTGTAGAGTACATATATATAAATTTAATTATTAATTTTATATTTATGATTATCTCCTAGGAAAGGAAATGTAAAATTATTGCAAACTGAAATTAGAAAATTTTAATACTTAAAAGCTCTGAGGTAAATCTATTAAAAACTTGTAATAAACTTTGTAGAGACATTAGATTATTTTGAAGCAGGAGAGATGAAAAAAAGTAGCAATGCCCTCACTGGGACTCGAACCACAAACCTCTCCAATACGCGCCAAACGTGCTGACCACTACACCACGAAGGCATGCTAAGAAGGCGCGAGAAATACTTTATATACTCTGCCTTTTAAAGGGCGACTAGGGATTACGGGACCTAGGCGACAAATCCTGGTTGTGCAGAATCATCATCCACCACCTTTTTTAGTTCGGGTGCCACTGTAGAGACATTGGTTATTTCAAAGCAGGAGACATGAAAAATGAGCAATGCCTTTGCCGGGAATCAAACCCCGTACCCCTCGAATACGTGTCGAGCATGCTGACCGCTACACCCCGAAGGCATGCTAAAAAGGCGGGAGAAATACCTTATAACTTAAAAGCAGTTTAAAATTTGAAGAGGTATGTATTAAAATCATACATTTAAAAAAAAGAATAAGAATAGTACCTACATAAAAATAAGATAGAACATAAAAAAGAAAGTAAATTATTACTGATTTCTTGGAAGAGAGTTAATCGTTTCAAGGGGAGTTAACCCTCCCCCCCCAAAAATTCACAATAATTGGAGTATGATTGCATTTCATCTCCTTCGATACATATACATAGAGATATGTTATAAAAAAAAGATTTATTAACAAGAATGTTATTACAAGAATACTTAAACAACAGTGATTTGGGATGAAGTTGAATAAAATATTCAGAAGGAAAAAAAAATTATGTACCTGTGCCTTATCCAAATCCAAAAATTTGAGAAAAATTTCATGAAAACCTCCATAAGTATATAGACAGTAACTATTAATCCACAAGATATGAGATACAATAATGTCCGTAACAGAAACGCCGATAACAAACTTTTATCCCATATAGCAATATCATCAGGATGAGGGAAAAGAGGTAAGTAGTAACCCTGAGCCCTAAAATTAATAAATACAGGTGTTAAATATTATATAAATATTCTAAAACAATACAGATTACCTCTGTAACTAAAAGCATTATTTGATATTTGCACAGTTTTTCATATTTTAAGCCAATTGCATAAATATTCCGCTTGAAAAATGTATATGACATTTCAAAAGATAACATCCAGGTAAGGAGGGTGTTCACACATTTTTAGAATGATTTCAGTAAACAAATAGAAAAAGCAAATGCTTTGGAATAAACACTTTTGGCAACAGCTTATTACTTGAGATGAGAAAAATCGTTTGCTGCTTTTAGATTTATTCTTCTTTCAAAATGTTGCATGCAAACAAACTGTAGATGGAAGGATACGTTCATGCGCTTACCGAAGAGAAATATTCCTATTCCATACTTAATTAATTATTAATCTGAAATAAGAAAAACTGTCAGTCATTACTTCTACATGGAAAGAAGACTCCAAATGAATACCTGGAAAAAAATAGGTACTATTCCTAATATTTCTAAAGTTAAATCATTGGTAACAAGAGACAATCTACAGTGCAGAAACCAATTATTAAGTCCTTAAATACATTTGCAGCAACAATAAATAAAATAATAAACCATGATTTATGGTTTAAAAAAGCTAAAAAACATAACATTCACCAGCTTCTTCCGATGCATGTTGCCTGATGCAGACTATTTGTGGAACGCTTTATGAAAACTATTCAAAAATTTCAATAAAGGGTATATGATTGTTGCATGTTTCTCTTAAAACTGGTATTTAAGAAGAGGGGAAAAAAGTGTCAAAATCACTTCAATGTGCCATCTTTTAGAAAGTTTTATGCCCCATATTTACAGAAGAAATTTTATTTCTTTATCCCAATGACTTTCAAAGAGTGAACCTTCATCAAGACAAAGCGACAAGTCATACTTTGAAAATACCACTGCATTCCTTGAAAAAACTAAGACTGACATAGGTATTGCACATACACCTTATATACATATTCCTGTGAATTCCTCTGATTTTTCACATGAATATGTATGGACTATTTTAGTACTAAGCCTCTCTTAAAAAAAAAGCTCTTTCAAAAAGCAAAGCCATCACAATGGACAGACTCCGGAAAGTAGTGGAATGCAAATTTTACAAAAAGATCTGTCATGAAAATCATGGTGCAGAAAAAAAGGCCATCGGATCGAACATTTAAAAAATACTCTTTCCATTAAACGGCCTCAAAATCATTCTAAAAATATGTAAAAACCCTCTGTATATTAGTTTCAATTAAAGCAACTTAAAAATCATCATTCAATTAAATCAACTTCTGAATTTAAAAAACCTTTTACATTTAAATTTTTCTTCTCTGATCGTTTGATTTATTAATATCAATACTTATATCTTGGCCCCACGTGTTAAGTATTTCTGATAACAATGTTTAATAACTTATAACTGGTCATTTTAAACACATGTATTTAAAAACAATGCTTTTCATATTTTCACTGAAAATGCAGAAGATGGTACACTGCAGGGGGTTCTATATCTCCCGCTCCTACTGGGCCAATTGATGAAATTCAAATTGTGTTTTTCATATCTAAAAAGCGTGACTGAGGATATATATTAGATTTATACATAAGCATCATTCTAACATAGGTATTTTGACACAAAATCAGACATTTTCTGACATGACATGGCAAATTTTTTTTTTCATATTTCGATTCTATGACTCAAATTATGCCTAAATATTAAATTCTGTAAAATTTGGTGAGGAATTTTTACAGATAAATTCAAAAATTTATCTTCAAAAATTTTTCTTTCAGTGCTATAAATTCAAAAATTTATCTTGGAGTATTTTTTTTCAGTTTTTGCCAAGAATAATTTACTTGGAGAACTTCTTAACTTATAGCAACCTATCTTCCTTTCCTTTTTTCATTGTTGACAAATGGGAAAAAGTCATCATTCATACTTTCAAATAATTTTAACACAATGTGTAAGCCACATTTGGCGTTATTATTGCTCGAAAAAAAAAAAAAAAAAAAAAAAAAAAAAAAAAAAAAAGATACCAATTTTCGAAATGTTTCAATATGTAAATTGATGTATATCTTAGAAAACTTTTGAACTAATTTTTTGCAGGTGTGCCTTGAAATACATCTACTTTAAGATGATGTTAAAAATTTTATAAATTATAATACAAAAATGTTTTCAAAAAATTTATTAAAAACACTTAAAAATACAAATTTTAATAATAAATCATAAAACATGTACGAATTATATTTGGATTAAGCCTAGGTTCGAGTTCTGGAAGTAATCGAGTAAATTTAATTTAAAAAAGAGATATTAATAATTATATATCAAATTCAATTAACATTCAGGAACTAAAATCTCAAGAGCTACTTTTTTAAAAATTATTCACGCGATTTTTACGAAACTTGGTAGTTTGGCATCATTTCAGTTGTAGAATAGAAATCTGGAAAAAATTGGCATGTCATTTCAGAAGAAGTCCGATTTTGTATCAAAATACCTATATTAGAACAGTGCCATATATACATCTAATATATATATTAAGTCGAGCTTTCGAGACATGAAAAACGCAATTTGAATTTTGTCAATCAGCCCAGTAAAACAGGAGATATAGAACTGTCCCCCCTTTTCACAGCGTACCTTTGCATAACACACTAAAAATGCAATATAAATATGATATAGCTCATTTTACACATCAAATTACATTTATAATAATTATAATGAATATTAAACAACACAAAAAAACTGTTAAATATTTTATTTCAATTTTGAAGAAATTTGTCTTCCCTAAAATTGTTTAACAGATACAAAAATAGTGAAAAAAGTGAAATTTAAAAGGATGGGAAAATTTAATTACATGCCGTAGAGAAGTTAGAAAGTTGTAAAATTTCAGTACTATAAATGAAAAAAATCTTTAACATAAAATATAAGGACGGTTTTCAAAGAAATGAGGACAAGAACATCATACCAGATACAATGGAACAATAATGATGGCACAGCAACTAATGTCAGAAATGTTGGATATTGACCAAATATTTTGTAGAAAGGTGATATTGTACCTAAGAAGGAAGAAAAATATATATGTAAGAAAAATAAAGAATACGTAAAAGATTAAATTAGCAACAAATTTCCCTTCTCAATTCTGAAAATAGTAATCTATCTGCACTATGTCATTTCTAGATTAATCCATGTCATATTCTGGTATATACATAATTCTGGTGATGTTAATGGAACTAAAACTCAAGCAGCCAATAGTAATATTAACTATCCAATCATACACACATTTATATATATAGTATATATACATAGATAGATATGCATATACTACAACATTATGACTTTTAAAACATGATAAAAATTAACAAAATTCCATGATATTAAGGAGAGAGGATCATGTAGAATCTAATTTTTTTTATACATTTTTTAATTGCTTGTAAGGTGTATTTTAATTTTATAACAGTTATTTTTAATTTTGAAACCCTTTTCTTTCAATTCTGGTTTCCCATTTACAACTAACAGAATAAGTTTTTCGAATCATGTTGACTGTAAATGAGGTACAAGGAGTATTTAAGGAAGGTTCAGCTTACTTAACTACGATACTTTAGGTGGCACATGCTTGTCATTGGGCTACTTCGTTAGTGAACCTACTATGCTTGGTCGTATTGTACGTTCCTGTTGATAATTGCTGGCTAATTTAATTAAGGGCCAACTACATAAGGTAATTGAGTCTAACTTCGGCTAAGTCAGTTTAGTTTAATATTAGATTAGTTTCTTATATTTCTTACCTTGATTTGAAGCAGGAGTGGAAGCTTCCCTATATGCCCAAGAAGGGGGTGACTGTGCTGTTCTTTGAATGAATAAAAGGGTATTTTAACCTTTCTCTGGACTCTATTGTCAAATACTCGAACTCAGCGAAGTCGCTACACAGTTCACTAAGTTCTCTATGTTCAGCATAGTCCAAGTAGTGAGGAACATTACATACTGATTAATTTCATTTAACATCTGAAGAATGTAATTTTAATGTTGCAAACCAAAAATCGAGCCTTAGTCTCCATGGAGACAGAACAGATCAAAAGACAGCTTGGCAGCTCAAATGGACAATTTTGCAAAGTAGGAAGGTATGTTTATGGCCCTGGCATTGCAGATTAAGCTTGTATAGTGTTATGTCTATTTAATCTTAAATACTACTTTTTCCTGTTGAAATCTTCAAATGTGTTTTTCTCAAGATACGACTTTTTGCATACAGCTTTGCAACCTAGCTCAAAAATTAATTTACATATCAATTTCACACAGATATCACCCACATGACACACACAAATTTCACACAAATATTCCTAAACTTACTTATCATATCTTGAATTTAAAATACCATTACGAAACCAATCACAAATATTGTTTATTTAAATGTGCTCCGAGTTTTTAATTTTCAATCCCCCTTAAATTTAGGTACAAGATCTGCATAATATCACATTTTAATGAAAAAATTTTGGACTTTTGGTTTCAGATAGTTAGAACGACATACAACACTACAAAACAACAGAAAAAAGAGAGGTCAACTTTAAGCAGCTGCAGCCCACTATTTTGAATTCTTACAATAAAAAATTGTTTTCTTGTAACACTTATTGTCAATATTACGATGTTCTTTACCAAAATTTAATAAACCTTTTCAATTTTTATAAATGAATTCTTAAAATACACCTGTTTACATGACTCTCTTCCCTTCCTTAATGGAAATAGTGGTCGTTCAAATATCATAATCATTATAAAGCAGCAACAAAGGGATTAAATAAACAAAGCATTTACCTAATGAACCAATGTATTTCATTTGGCCTGCTAGAAATGTTAATAGAAGAGCAACTGTATATCCCACGATATATGTCCCATAAAATTTCACAAACTGTAAAAAAAAATTACAGGTCTTAAAAGATATGTATGTCCATCATAGAACTTTTAGAAATTTATGTGAAAATCAGTTATCAGATATAACATACATAATAGAAAATATGACAATAAAACAATCAACATAAAAATGAATCTGAGTAACTGTAACAGTGTTTCTTAATTTGTGGTTCTCGAAGCCTGTTCTTGTGGTCCTCTTAGAATTTTAAGAGAGACAGAAAAGTAAAATTTTAATTATCTGTGTATATCGCACTACAGTTGCAAAATCTCACAATTTTGGAAATTACAGATGACAGTCATCTACCCCTTTTTCTACCACTGATACTTTATGAAATTTATTACCAGTGTCTCTATACATGGACTTTACTAGTCTTAGCAACAAAAGAGGAATTTAAAACATTATGACTATGACTAGTGCTTCTTGCCATCATTTTGCTGCATATTTGGTGCCAGTGGGCATCTTTTCATGTAACATTACTGTATGGCAACCACTTCTTTCTTCCAGTAATGTGCTGTTTCAAAAAATATATTCTTCTTCATATTTTTCAGTAAACAATTATGTTCTGAAACTTGAGCAAATGCAGTTTGCTTTGTCAAAGTATAGGGTACTCATATATAATAGTGGTTCACATACCAAATCTTCAAATGATTATGTACTATATTTAAAAAAAAATATTTAATCTGCTTAACAATTCATGATAATATATTAAATAATGTATATATATTTTTTCTGATAATTATAATGTGGATTTTCAGCAATAGCTTCTTTTAACTGGCCATGTTTAAAGGGGATATCATCCAGAATGGGCCTCGTTTTCAAGGCTGCAATTTCGATGCCTAAACTTCTTGAAACACCTTAACACCTTCAAACTGTGCCATGAGAAACAGCATTTTGTACATGGTTCAACACAAATTTTATGAGCATTCTGGGTAATGTTTTTTTTTTTTTTTTTTTTTTGAAATAAAAGAGCATAATATAATAAAAATGAACAGGTTCTCAACACTTAGCACTGCACTGCAAAAACAACTATGCAACAACATATGTTAGAACTACGCAATGTGAGGGAAAAAGACCGTATTTAGACATCCACTTCAATCAAGGTCATTCCTTATTACAGTACCAAAATAATTAAAAGAAAATATGCTTTGATCTGAAAACCACAGAACTTTCCAGATGACCAACTATTTCTGCATATAAAATATTGAACTCATTATGTAGAATATTTTTCAGTCCGAGAATATATTTGTTATGGAGAACAGTCACTGTATATATGGCACCACTGTAAAACTATTTTTTATAAAAAAAATTAATTAAAAATATTTGTTTAGGAAAGAATGCTTCATTGTGTTACATCAATTTAATAATTTGCTTGGTTTGAAGGAAAGTGATCATCTTGAGCATCAAAGGAGATTCTTGAACACGGACTTTCCAGAAGGTAAGTGACTGAACAATCTTTTGGCCTTACTTTTAATAACATACTTTACCCATAAACAGCAAAAAGTTCTTCACGGCTCTGCATAGCAGTTTGGCCTTTATTGGAATAAAAGTGTAAAATGAAATGCAGTTTTGCAAGAATTCCCTCCCTTTCACATGTACAGGATGAAACAAGGCCAACACCTTGCACCCATCTAGGCATATTATATATCATCAGACCTTGCTACTGACCCAGATGGAATTTAGAAGGATCCCCTACCCTTCTTCCCTTACCACAACCTCTCAAAAGGATTTCGGCTCAATGTACATTTTGAAAAACCCCTTGTCACACAGACACTTACAAACATCCATGCCTTCTCTCGGATCAGAACTTGGGCCTTTTAGTATGGTAGTCAGCATCATTAACCTGGCAGCACTCATCTTTACTTTGCATCTCAGTATAAGAATTCCAACACTTTTTGCATGTCTACTAATTTCAAATGCCAGTTGTGAAACAGTATTCAGCCTGACCACTGCAACTCTTATACTCTGAGACTTGGGATAGTAACAATATGTCATGAATAAAAGGCTCAACACTTCCAAGACTAGCAATGCAAATGTTTCTCAGAAAACAACTATTATATTTTATTTTTATATTCCAATATACAAGTATTTTCTTCAACATATTCTGCTGGGGAGAATTAAAAAAAGAAAACTTCACTTGACAAACAAAGCATAAAATACTTACTTGGCTAGCAACATGACTTAAAGGGAAAGTTGCAGAAAGCACGACGCTGCATCCGGGATCCAGAATCAACTGCAAATTGACATTGCGGTTCCTTACCTCTGATGGCAGAAGATTTACCCTCGTTGGAATAACTGTTAAGCCACCCAGTGAAGTTCTGAAACAAATTTGTAGGTATTAAATTAGCAAATCAAATCAAATTAGCAATCAAAGCAAAATTTGTAACAATAATAAAATGGAAAAAAATCATATAAAACGTACATATGGTATTTACAGGTGTTAAGAACGATTTCTGGGCCATTTAATAAATGTTTAAAATATAAAGAGAACTTCTTTAAATGTTTGACCTGATAGCCTTTTTCTGCACAATACGTATGCATTGTGATTTTTATGATAGAAGGGCTTGTCGTGAAATTTTCAGGGGTATTAATTTCTCTTCCACTTCTTTCCAAAGTCCATCTATTGCAAGGGATTGGCATTTCGAAAGTTTTTTTTTTTTTTTTTAATATATATATATATATATATATATATATATATATATATATATATATACACACAAAATGCACAATAGTTCAGAGGTAAAATGTCAGGAAACCTCACAGGAATATATTAAAAGGTATATATGCAATACATGCATCTCTTACCATATTTTCAAGGAATGTAATATAGTATAGCGTCCGTAATCCGTACGTCCATTATCTGGAATGATCTATAATCCGGACGTCAAAGCCACAAACTTACGCATGCGCGTAAAGTCAGTAAAGCTTTTATTCATGTGTGCTTCCGATAGTGAAGAAAGTAACAGAGAACGTTATTGAAAATGAAAAAAATTTTATTGACCAGTTAGTTGGTATTCTCGACACAGCAATTACAGGACTTGAACAGTGGAACTTTGCAACTGAACAAGAAATTATGTCTATTTATAGAATTAAAAAGAAAGTATTAGCACAAAAAACGAAGCAACTTAAACAACTTACATTGATAGAAATGTTTATTAAAGTAAAAAAATAAATATTAAGCTTTTTTTTTTTTGTAAATTTTGATACCCTTTAGATCATAATTGCTCTTTATTTCATAAATTACGGTTTCATATTTTTAATTGCATAATTTCTGCATGCCATCTTACCAAATTTAAATTGATGATCTACAATCCAGAAAAACCCCTAATCCGGAATCATCAGTTCACTTTTGCCTTGATGAAGTTTCACTCTGTGAAAGTCACTGGGATAAAGAAATGAAATTTCTTCTGCAAACATCGGATGTAAAACGTTCTCATGATAGTAAATAGAATTTATTTTAACACTGTTTTAAACTCTTCTTATTTTTAATTTCCCATTGTAAGAGAATCCTACGATAATCTTACACCCCTTACTGAAACTTTCTTTGTTTTCGAGGAGACCTTTTTTTTTTTTTTTTCCCTTCTAAAGTAATTAATACTACTGGTTACTAATTCTTCATTTAGAAGATGCTATGCTTCATTTTGAAGGTTACCATTTCTCTCCCACTAAATAGTTTTCATAAAGTGTTCTACACATTGTTTTGCTTCAAGCCACATACCTCAGGAGAAGATGGTGAACATTATGTGTTGTTAGCATTTTTAAGCTGTAAATCTTGGTTTATCATTTTATTTATTGTTGCTAAGATGTATTTTAGGACTTTACAATTGATTTCTGCATCAGCGGATTTCCTCATTACCAGCAATTTAAATTTAGGTCTAACTAATTTAAATAATTCTAAGTAATAACTTTAGATTTAACTAATAGCTCATTTTAAGTCAGCACTTTGTTATTAATCTCTTTTCACCCACATTTTTCATTCCAGAATGTAAATCAGACAGTGAGTGTTTATTTAGATTAAAGTAGAAGGAAGTGCTGTTTAAGCAAGAGTTTGGAAGTTAGTTTTAAAGCGTGTCTGCTTATTCCAGGCCATGTTGTGCCATGATTATTAGCAACTTGATTTAGTGGCATTGAGTGTGTCTAGCCATTCGGTTTTGTCTCACCAGTTTTCTACAAACGAGAGCCTTGCATGTGCGTTAAATTATCCTGTGAGCCTGTCTCCCTAAGAGACATATACTTTATAAGCACTGTCGAAGTAATCCACTTTTGCACGAAATGCATGAAAAATAAACCAAATTAGCATTATCTAATGAAGGGTGATCACACGCTTTTTGATGTGCAAATCAAAGAGTTAAATAAATAAATCAAACACTTTGCACAAAATAGATATCAGATTGAATTTCTGCAATACAACATTTGATTTCAGTGTGTAAGGACTCAAAATGATTTATTATGTCTCTGAAGTATCACCGTTAAGCCTCTAGGTGGCGAATCATCGGCCGTTTAGGAGCAAGGCATATAATCACAGAAGCAGTGAGATGTGTGAATATTTCAAGACAGACAGATTTTAAGCTATGGAAACAATTTCAGAGTTCTGAAATCATTGCAAGGAGGCTTGGACAAGGTCATAAATGAACAGCAACTGCTTCTCAAGATCGATATCTGGCAATAACTGCCCACTGTAATCGAAAATCTACTGCTCAGCAGTTAAATTCAAAGCTTGCAGCCACCATTGGAATTTCTGAATCATGGCAAACAATACACAGAAGGCTTAATGAGAAAGTTCTTTACACTAGAAAGCCAAAGGTATGTCATTCACTATCTTCACAACAAACAAAAGGTCGCTTTAATTGATGCTAAGAACATCAGAACTGGAGTGAAAACTAATGGTCCCATGTTCACCAAGGCATCAAGGTTTAGTTTAACAATTGATTCTAAGTGTGTTTATATCTATAAGTGTGTTATAAGTGTTACAAGTGTGTATAATCTATATAAGTGTGTTATAAGTGTGTTGCTAGCATGAAAATACATCATGATATATGTGTACAAGTCCAGAATGCAAAATTTTCCTTCAAATATTATGTAAAGTGACCTTTTCAGAAATGTAGGTGTAAAGGTATGGGCACAATGGACCAACATGTTTTTAATAGTAGATCTGTGACTGGCCAGAGATATTGAGATGAACTCTTAGTGCCTTATGTAAGACTTTTCAGAGGTGCATATGAACTGAATTTTAATTTATGGAATGAAAATGCTTTTTCCTATCGAGCAAATCTCATTGACGAATTGCTTGAAACTGTAAACACTGTTTGAATACCGTGGCCGGCAAAATCTCCTGATCCCAATTCTATATAGAACTTTGAGAGTTTCTCTGGAAAAGCAGTTGCACTGAAACATCCTCTTCCTAAGGAAGCTGGAGGCTACATTGCTGGAGAATGTGGAATTTCCCCAGGAGGCTACATTGCTGGAGAATGTGGAATTTAGTTACAAGCTTAATTTCTTAAACTATGGTTAACACCATTATTGCTAGCATGAAAATACATCATGATATATGTGTACAAGTCAGGAGAGATCCTATTTTATATTAAATTCACAAGCAATATTTTTTCTGTTATTCTGTTTTTTTAACCGAACTCTCCTTGCAACATATTATTACCATTTCTATTGTTCATGCTGCAGTTTTATGTCACAAGTAGTGTTTTGGATTTCTTTTTATTTATATGTATCATTCCACACAAAATAATATTTCATAGTTTGAGAAATTCATGATTTTATGCATATAAAAATAATTTTGGACATAAGTATAATTCAGCATTACTGATACCCTGAACTTCCTGGATTACCAAACTTTTACTGTATTTAGGAAAAAAAAAAAATTATCATGTTCCTGAACTTGCCAAATTATAACAAAATTCTCTTGTATTTAAGAAACAACAATTTTCCATATTCTTGAACTTTCCAGATTATCAGTCTTCTAATGTACTCAGAAAACAATTTACTATATTCTTGAACCTGCCAGATCATCAGAAACAATTTTTGCATTTGCTATTTCTAAAACACTCCCAAAAGTTATGGGAATATATTATTTTAAATTGGTTAGATTTCTTATATTTAAACCTAAAGACTACATTTTCGTTTCTTAACAAAAGTAAAGTTGATTATGACTGTTTTTCAAAGTTAAAGATTTAGCTTGAATTCGTTTAATTACATTCATATTCCTCTTCGCTCACCGCCCAATCTAGTGGCTAGTTAATGGACTAAATTGAGACACAATGCCTAAATTATAAAGAATTTCAGTTACAAATTTTACCAGAAGCACTGATCTAAGACAGGCAAGTTGCCTTTGTAATATAAGCTCTCCTTTTTAAAAACTAAACCAGCAGCTTGCAAGGCCAGCAGTCCAAAATAGTTATCATGAAAAAAGAAATAATATCTAACATTTTTAATGTCTGTGCTACACTGGAAAAGAACTAACTGGCATAATTAATTAAATCACTCATCATCTTTCACAACATAACATTATTTACATTTAACAAAAATAAGTTATGAGTATGCATGGGAGCAAGAGCCGAACTACTCTACTCACAAAGCTACAGATACAGACAGTTACATGCATACAAATTTTTAAGGTTCAGGTTTCAGGAATACAAAGCAGTTAATTAAAGAGTTAGAAAGTAAATAATAATTCAAAAGTTCAGTTATGGAACAAATCCAACTAGGGGATATTTTACAAAAATACTTAATATTTCTAATTGGATATCTCATGTTTTGAATGCATTTTCATTGAAATCAATCAAATTAAGACGTGAAAAAAATATTCTTAAGATTGTCAACTTCTTTTAAATCACCTTTTGCCTGAGATAAAAATGTTTTTATTTCCAGCTCTCTTTTAAATCGCTGAGTGTATTAATAAAAAATACATTAAAGTCTTACAAAATACGACATAAATGAAAAACAATTTGAAACTCAAATTTTGGTTTCGAGGTGCACATGTTCAGGTGGAGGACTATGTGCGTTCAACATTTGGTGGTTTGGTTACCGACAATTTTCCACAATGTGAGGAAAATACACACATCCATACAGATTCTTCATTATTAAATAACAAAGGTTTGTACACACATATTAAAATTTCAATATTTTTACAATAAAAAATTAAATATTAGATGATCAAGTTTTTATCAAAAGTATTTTACATTGTATATTATATTAGCATTCATTTTAATTGATCCAATGCAACTAATTATAATATCCACTTAGAATAAAAACTACCATTAATATAACTCTAAATCTCTAATTTAATGAGAAAATCAGCATTCAGTATATAGTATATTTCATAAAGTCAGTATATTTCTGTCAATGATATTTCAGATTGATAAATCTCTCACAACTGCTTTTTACAACACAAATATCAAAAGAGTAGTCAACCTCTTATTGTCTTTTTTTTTTTTTTTTTTTTTACATTTGTCAAATGACACTTAAATGCTATGATAATTCTGTAACACCAATCCATCAAACCTGCTACTGGAGATTTGATAGTATCATGATCATGTATCGCCAAAAGAAAAATCAATATAGGTTAGGGCAAGGATATCGAAGAGAACACAGGATATGTCTACAACATCATATTCATTTCTTGAAGATAATATATACATAACACTAGGGCATATACAAGGTGTTTCATAGATCATGGGACAAACTTGGAGGGGTGGTGGAGCGTATTAAACATGCATTTTTTATAGGAATGTAGGGTCTAAAGTGACAGGTTAAGGCAGGAACGCAAAAAAAAAAAAAAAAAAAAAAAAAAAAAGACACGAGAGGAAAATATGTTTATGTACAAAATCAACGTAAAGTGCTTCTTTGTAGCAATACAGTATTCACAATAAATGTTCAAAATTGCGACCACCAGCAGCAATACATGCTAGGTAACGTCGCAGAAAAGACTGACGAACATTTTGAAAAAGACAGGCATTTTGCGCACCCTTGCAGCCACAATGGATAGTCGTACAACGAGATCCTCTGGTGAGTCAATGGGAGTCTCATAAATGATGCTCTTCAGATGACCCTATAAAAAAAATTCAAGCTGGAGAGATCTGGCGAACAGGGTGGCCATCGAACGGTTCCACCACGGCCAATCCATCGGCCTGGAAATGTCCCATCCAAGTAGTTTCGGACCCGCATGTGGTTATGGGCTGGTGCACCATCATGCTAGAACCACATGCGATCACGAACGACAGCCGGAACATCCTGCAGCAATTCCAGTAGCATCTCTTACAGAAAAATATGATAACATAAGTCATTTGTACGTGCAGGTATGAGGAATGGGCCTATGAGGTAGTCGTTAACAATAACCGCCCACACATTCACGGAGAAGCAGGTTTGGAATGCATGTGGACGTGTGCCGTATGGATTTTGAGTTGCCCACATGTGCATGTTGTGGCTATTGAAGATGCCATCCTGTTATAAAGTTGCTTTGTCCGGAATAGAACATCTGATGGGAAATCTGCCTGCGCTGCCCACAGCTGCAAGAATCAATGACAGAAATGAACTCAAAGAGGGTAATCTGTCTCTTGCAAGGCTTGGAATCTCTGCAAATGCTATGGGTGCAAACCACTTTCATGCAATACTCTCCAAATGGTGAAATGATTCAGCTGCAGACAACGTACATTAGCTCTTGTACTTGTCTGAGGTGATTCATGCACAATGTTCAAGATGGATTCTTCAATGCGAGGTTGTTGTGCACTTCTTCTTCCACTCTTAGTGTCAGAGGTGGCTTCAAGTGACCCGTTTTCACACAGAGACTGATGCAACCTCTCGAACATTGAGTGCTTCGGCATACGCCTGTTCTGAAACCGTTCCTGGTACAATCATAGCGCTGCTCTGCCATTCCCATTAGCAGCACCCTACATGAGATGCATCTCAGCCTTTTCTCTGTGCATAAACTCACCCATCGCGCTTGACACCGGAGTTGCGAATGATCCTCTGATGCATCGAATCGTGGTTTGTCCGGCTCACTACCACTGCATTGCCAGCCAACCACAGCTGTAGTTCCTATTACTGTTAGTGTTCCCTTTTTTGAACATTTATTGTGAATACTGTATTGCTGCAAAGAAGCACTTTGCGTCGATTTTGTACATAAAAATATTTTCTTCTTGTGTCTTTTTTTTTTTTTTTTTTATTGCGTTCCTGCCTTAACCCGTCACTTTAGACCCTACATTCCTATACAAAAAATGCATGTTTTAGTATGCTCCACCACCCCTCCAAGTTTGTCCCATGATCTATGAAACCCCCTGTATATGTAAACATCCTTAGAGATAATCTTCAGACATCATGAGACAATTATCTTGAGATTTATCTTGCTCAAAATCTTTCACCTCAAGTGAAATCCCAGAACTCCATATTAGGTAGCTGTGTTTATTGACAACTGCAACAGAAGCATGTTACATATGCTCCAACTACAGCTACTACAGTTGGATGTTAGATATATGTTGTTAGTTGATCAAGGTAAAAAAAAAAAATTAAATGCAATGTTCCAATGTCCTTAGCATTTGTTGAAAAAATTTATCACAGTAACGTAGTTTAATTCAAACATTAAATTGCAAATTCAATAAACTACTCTTAGAAACCAATTTAGCTTACTACTTTTAACCTTGAAAGCTTGTAGAATTCTTTTCTTACAATTCTATATTATTCTTAAAATTAATCCCCGTAATAATGCTAACAAATTTCCCGTCATTGACATTCTGTCAACTTTAAGGTTTTTATAAAAATATCTTCTTACTGATTTTCATATACTTTTCAACCCATAACTACTTCATTGAAGTTAAATAATAAAAAATTACTACAGATAACACAATTACACATATTACTCAATCGCATTCCATAAAATTTATTAATGAAAAAAAAATCCTAATGAAGGATGTCTTCCTCCTGTATTTAAAATTCTAAATACAAACATCCATTTATTTAAAGCTTTTTTAACTTCACTTAGTACTACAGTTAAAGTATTATTACAATTAAATAGGGATGATTACAATCCCATTCCAAAAATCCTGAAAATTGCCGTGCCATACAAATCAGACATAATTTAAAATAATTCAAAATAATAATGTCAAATACATACATGAATACACATTTATTTTTAAACAGCTTCACGAGTGAAGTGAAAATCATATACATATATTTTTAATTTATTAAAAAGTGATTTATGTTTCACTACATCATTTCGCACAGCTGCCTATCATTTTAATCTCAACACCTGTAAAAATATCTGCGAAGTTTAGTTTGCCTTTTTTTTTTTCTTGACAGGGATCAGTTTTGGGGAATTCCTAGTTCATACATACATACAATATATAGTGTTGCGTGTTTATGGCTTCATAAAACATCGAATGCACACAGAACCGCTGATAGCCTTGATAAAATTTATTTTTAACCAAAAAAACAATTTTGAAACTTTCCACAAAAAATACTTATACAGCTCTTCTCGAGATCACAAAGTAGAATCAGTAGTTACACTTTGAACTACTAAGAATGTTAAAGACAACATAATGCAAAGCAGTCTAAAGAGTGAAGCTCACATGAAGAGCTCCAATACTCTAGAGTCTACTCGAGTGAAAAACTGAGAGCATATGCTCTTTTTGATCTTATATAAAATTCATCTGGCCACGGAGAAATCTCCAGTACCTTCCATTTCTTGAAATTACTGGAAGGCATATAAGATTAAAATTACATCTAAGGGCCGGATATGGTTACAGTTACATATAGGGATCAATTATAGTTATACAGAGACTGGACCCTACTTTTGGTGATTTTTTGCCAAATTTGGGGACAAAAATTAGTCGCCAAAACATATGAAAAGTAATGCAGACAAAAAAGGGAGGTTTGAGTCTAATACCGCTTTTGGGGCTAAAATTATTTCTTGACGATATTGCTATGCCAAAGGTATCAATACCCACCTAACACATTTTGAAATTTATGCCCTTTGTACCATCATTTCGTCTACATCAGGGGTCGCCAAAGTGGTCTATATAGACCCCTAGGGGTCTATTTAACAACAGTAGGGGTCTATCTGACCCAAGGGGTCGAATGGGGGTCTTTTGGGACTCAAAAGAAAAACAGTTCTTAATACGCAAATCACACATATCTAACTGTGTACGTAAAAATTTAAAATATTTTTATAATTGACTTAATATTATATTCTTTATAGAAAATAAAATAATAAATCAGAAAACAATCTGCCCCTTTTTTCCTTATGGGTTTTCGTATGTATACCGTGATGTCACAACTTGACCTTGTGACCAGTTTGAGTAGTTTGTAATTAAAAATTTGACAATACATAAATTTTGGACTAATATAAATATAAAGCAAAAATATGTGAAACTTTACGAAATGGCTCAGCCATTTATGCTGGCGTTTCCAAGTTCGTATATGGTTGAAGCCGGTTTCAGTCACGTTAATTCAATTTTAACTAAAAACAGAAATAAATTAAATGTGGAGCTTCGAGGGGATTTACAGTTAAAATTGACTAATTTCGAACCCAATATAGCGAACCTTGCCAAGAAACACCAGGCACACTCATCTCATTAAGAAGTAAAAAATCTGTAGCTACTTTACTTACTGTTTCTAATTTATTAAATATTTAGGCTAATATATAGTTTTATTTTAATTACCTGAAAATTACCTTTGTGGGGGGTCTATGGAGATTTCAAAAAATTATATAGGGGGCGATGATCAAAAAAGTTTGGCGACCCCTGGTCTACATATTACACATTAGAAAAGCACAGAGATTCAAAGCTAATACAGCTTTATGTTAGTACATAATAAAAATAAAAAATCACAAATTTATTACCCAATGTGATAAAACGACACTTCGTTGCTCGATGGGATGTGCATCTTGATGATACCTTGACCTAAAATATTAATGCAGTCATTTTGAATACATTTCACCGTTGATAAAAATGCAAACACATGTATGATACTTTTCATCAATTATCATATTTACATGTGCAATTTCCCCTCTCTTTTCATTATAACCAAAAAAAATTATGTGGGTTTGAGTTCAGGCAAACGGACTGGCTGCATGTGCGTTTTTCCACATGTGTAACTAAACGAGTATACGAGCCAGTTTCCCTTAAAAAGTCCTCCACAAAGGCATTCATACCCTTAGGCAGATAGCACTAGTATGCTTTACTATCATAAACTAAACCAAACCAAAGCTAAAAACTAAGAGGAGAAAATCATAATACAATTTTTTTTAAAAAAGTTTTTTATACTGTAAGCTTTTATTTTAAATGGGCCATGAAAACAATATAGTAAAAGAAGAAAAATAATTTATAGTTTAATGGGAATAATAGATTAAGTAATTCTACATCACAAAATAATAAAAGCGTGAGGGTGCTTAAATAAAGAAATCTACTAATTTAATTAAATGCACAAGCCATTATCTTTCTAAATTTATGCATGTGCGCCCCACCCTTCACAATGTAAAACTGTTGATGAATTCTATAAATAAAACTCTTTTATCTATTATTCCCATTAAAATGTACAATAAATTATTTTTCTCCTTTTAGTGCATTATTATCTTACCCAATTTAAATAAAAGCTCACTGCATAAAACCTCTTTTTTTTTAATTGTATTTTATTTTCTAGTTGTTTAGACTCAATTACACATTATGAATTTTTTAAAAAAGTTTATAGTTAGATATATTAGATATACAAAAAAATATCGCCAATTCAAAGAAATGGCAAAATAAAAATTTTTCCACAAGAAATGCTTTTATTTCTCCATCCGACTACAACATGCTTTTAAAGAAAATGTAGAAAACTGCTCAATTAATACTTTTTTTTTAATCATTCTTGTTTTAAAAGAAGGATAAAAGATGGTTTTATTATCTATGAAAATTTCAAATTCTGATATGTTTAGTTTGTTTGTTAATGGAAGATATGTGAGAAAAATCATTTAAACATTAAATTAAAGAAAATCTAAATAAAATTTTGCAAAAGCCATTTTGCCACAATGGATTTTCATTGACCAACAGAAGTCTTGGACCAACAGAGTGTGTACAAAACTTGAACTTGATAGCTTATCAGGAAGTAGATTGAAAATCAATGACACCTTCACAGTGATACACCATGAGTGAACTTTAAAAACATTTATGAATATAAGTACTAATATTATAATCCCACTATTAGTTTTAGCACTGATTTTTTATTTATATACATGTCGCACTTTATTTATGTAAAACAGCTATTTCTCTCACTGCATTCGCATTTTAGTATTAAACAGTGTTACAATAATAATATTTTTTATGAAAGCAGAATAACTGCATAATATAATAGCATTGCATAATAAAAGCATTCGTTGCTTATACATCCAAGGATCTGGAATAAATTAATGGTGTATGCTGAGGCACCACAGTATGGCACATACAGGATTTTCCTAAACTGTCACAAAATTGTTGTGCAAACTGCATTTTGCTGCAAAATCCTTTAATGAAAGCAATACCATAGAATTTCCATTAGAACAAATAAAACAAAATACTGGCTATAAATATGTTTATTGAATGATTTTCAAGATAAATACATAATTAAAATGCAAAATTCATATATGATACACATATATGTAATAAATCTCTTTTGACTTTTATGACATTAATTTGTTAATTCGGTTTTATCATTAGTGTATGTTAGCTGTAAAGGGGCAGTCATATGAAAATGAGACAGATGGAAAAAACAATAGTTAAACTAGCTACTATTTCAAAAGTATTGTAATTGCCATAACTGTTAACATTGTGAAACAAGACAGTCAATGGCATCATAAAGAAATGTTTTCAGTTGCCTATGGAATCGTGACTGCATCCAGCTATGCCCCTCTTCATCCAAAGCAAACAACAGCCACAAATGTCTTTCTTCAGAGCTCCAAAAATATAGAAATTGCAAGGGGAGAGATCTGAACTGAATGGAAGCTGTGTAAGCACTTCCCAGGGAAGAATCTGCAGCGTAACAAATGTGGCAGGGCATTATCCTGTGAAAGAAATAGGCTGTCTGTCAGTCCTAGGCATTTGGATTTGATGGTGCACTTCAATTTTTGTGAAGGCTCCAAGTACTGTTGAGTGTTAATTGTGGTGCCATGCTCGTTATATAGTCTGTCTCACTCGTTTGACTGCACACACACACACATATATATGTGTAAGATATAATAAATTAAGATATAATGATTGGCAACCTCAAAATTGACTATTCTAGATTTTATGTTCCCATTCTTTCTCCCAATTTCGAGATCTTTCCAAATTACATAACACTGCTTGAAAAGGGCACTAAAACCCTAAAATTAAACAGTTGCGGCACTGCATCGTGAGCAATTACATCATTCCTTTTCTAATTTCTGCCCTGCAAACTTCTCTGTACTGATATGCTTACTTATTTAAAATGACGTTTTCCTTTTATAAAATGAGCACATAAAAATTATTGTATTCAGTAATGATAAAAAAATATATTGTTTGCAAAGAGACAATTCGATATGTGTGAAAATAAAGATTTGTGATACTTCAAGCTTAGTTGTGTTAGCTGCGTCTCATGCCTTCACCTTCAGCCCCTATGACTGTTGGATATTAAAAGTGCCGGTTTTCCTCTATGCATTAAAATAACACATACTATATAATATTATTCCAATGTTTTTTCTGATCAGTATCTGTGTGCACAAACAATTTCATAAAAGGAAAAGAAAAAGATTTAAAAATTTATGTAATTACCTACAAAGCTTCCAGCTTTGCAAAGTCGAGTTTCCAACTGAAATTCTGTAGCTTCAAAAATGCCAGCACTCTTTGGAATTGTAATGTTGTAAAATATCACAGGCTCCACTAATGAAATGCTTAAAATACGGACAGGAGTGAAAGTAAAAGGCCGCTGTAGTAGTGACGGTAAAGTGGCGAACTTTGTTCGTTCATTACTATTATACCTTTCCCCAAGAATCTCAACCTAAAAATATAAATAAATATAAATTTTTAAAGCACTTAATTCAATGGTCTCAAACATGCGGCCCGTGAGCCACATGCATTTGATGAATACATTTCACTTACGTATTTGTTGCAAATATGGTATTGCAAAGATTTCAAGATTTTAGTAATTTAAGTCCAAATTTGTATTATTTTCATTAAAAATGAATGTGAATGACTCGTCAAAAAATTTATAAATTACCTAATTAATTTACAGCGTGATATAAATCTTATTCAAAGATCTGAAGATAAATATTTGAATAATTTTGCACTCTTAAAAAATAAGCTCAGCACCGAATTTTTGCATTAAGAATAATTGCTCTGTCTGAGAATACATTTATAGCTGAAAATCTTTTTTTCAAGTTTAAAAATTAGTAAGAAATCATCGATGAGCATCTACAGTCCATGATGAAAATAATTTCTAATAATTTCTAGCCTAGCCTAAAAATTTTATGTTACTCTTCTGTCATTGGAACTGGATTAACCCCTTCAGGACCAGCGTTACGTATACGCAATGTAACGATTCCACTCCTACCAGCCCAGCGTCGCGTATATGTGAAGAGCTGCAATCCATGTCTGAAGCTCAGCATCGCATATACGTAACCTGAAAATGGAATGATTTATCTGCATTTTTAAAAGCCATTAGATGGAGCTAAATGGTAATTGTTTTCACATGGGTTCATCCATATGGCATTTCCCCTTCATGTACTGGCATTAGTTTCTGTTCTGTACTTTTGGTTTGTTAGATTTATTGGTATAAACAAACTGGAAATCACGGCTCTTTATAAGTGTGCCTGTGAATTGAAGGGGTACAGGTGTTTTTGTTTATTTCGTTAGGAATTTTTTTTTTTTTTTTTTTTTTTTTTTTTTGTTTTTTTTTTTTTTTTTTTTTTGTCGTCATTAGAATGTGGGTAAGTGCATCCAGCTTCTTGCTTTCATTTATGTTATTTGCTTTTTTGTTAAGAAAGTGCCTTCAGCTGACTATAGCAGGTGTGACATCACAGAATTTCCCTGATGGAAAAACTCAAGACCAGTTTTCCTTTTTTCCATTTATTTTGAAACTTAACATAAGCTTTCTTGGTTAATTAAAAAGTAACATTATTACAGAAGGGGAAAGACCACCAGCTTTCTTGACGCATAATGTCTCTTACTAGTTTGCATTTCTCAGGAAACAGCCAGCGTTTTTATTTTTCTTACTCGATTTACAAGGTCATTATATATAATGACCCAGGCACTATATTTTGGTATATAAAGTATTTACTTTACATATGATACATATATTGATGTGAGCAGTAACAGATATTCCACCAATGTTGTCCAAAATCACCGGACACTCTACATTTCTGTCTAACTGGAAGACATTTTCTGAAAATTTACATTGATGGAAAAGGTAATAAAGGTAGGAAAAGATGTGTTGCATGTGCTAAAAACAAGGAAAAGCAAAAGCAAACAACGTATTTTGAGTGCAAAATATGCAATGTAGGACTGAGTGTTGATCCTTGTTTTGAATTATTTCACACACAGCAGAATTTTTAAATTGGAATTTAATTACCTACAGGTAATTCTTGTTTAGTTTTGTTTTTTTAAATTCCATATTTGTAATTTTGTTTTTATGTTTATAATATTTATTAATGTGATACACATTAAAAACAAGTACATTAAATACGCAAATTCAAAAATTTAAGTCATTATATCAAAATGCTGATTTCATACTTTTTTTTTTTTTTTGTAAAATTAGGCTTAACTGCTGAAAATGCGCAGGCCGGTGACGACAATCCATTTCAGAGGGTCTGGATCCGTGACTGCGCTTTGTTCTCCGTATGCCGGTTAAGAAATATATGTATGTGCGCTTGTGTGTATGTATACATGTGCATACATACACATATGTACATACCTGTATTCATGCATACATGAACACATACATCCATACATACAGGCACACATACATACATTTCTGAATGCGGTTCCAATAACAGAAAAGTACCACTTTTATCAGTATCAAAACACCATCAAATGCCAAACTCTAGTAAGAAATTAAGAAGTTTATAATTATTTACATAAAAACACATGCATTTTTATTTATGCCCCAAAGAAAAATTTCATGTATAAGAGAAAAAAACAAAGTTATAGTTAATTATTATTATTCTCAATTTTTGTCACAATAGGAAAGTTTCCTATAAAAACTTACAACGTTTCATAATTTACTTATTTTTAATTTAAGTTAAAGTTATTTAATGATTAATTAATAAATTAAAATTATTTGAACTAAATGTCAGTGCAAAAATTTAATATTTAGCCATCAGTACATACTGGCATAATGGAGGGCAAAGCAATGCTGGTATTTTATGGTTTTCCCCATGTACAACATGTATACGAGCCAGTTTCCCTTAGAAAGTCTTCCACTAAGGCATCCTCTCCTTAGACATATAGCCTTTGAGGTTTTGTCATAATCACATAAACCAAACTAAACCAATCCAAAATTTCCACAGTATCCATGAACATAAGCAAAATGAATGTCCATCTCAAGATCTTACAAAGTCTTAATAATAACCTGAATTTCAATAGCAGATTTCTCTGAAACACTAATTTTCTTAAGTAATTGAAGCAATGAATCACTATGTATTAAAACACACACTAATCTAAAAAAACTACAAAAATTTTGAATCCATTTCACAGCAAGGTTTAAGAACAACAACACAGCTAGAAAAACAGAGCACTCATCACTAATTCCAAATTCTCATCTCTAATTCTATTTGAAGACTCTTTCTTGTTTATCTTCATAAACAACAGAAGCAAGGCCAACCTTATTACTTATATTACTTCAGTTTGTAAACCAAATTAATTGGTACTCTTCAAGAAAAACATCAGAATAACCAGCAACTGGTACAGAGGTTCTTTTAAAAGGAAGGAAATAAAAAGTTGAAAGATTGACATCAAGAAAATTTGAGTAGGAGTGCCTGTAAATGATTTCCTTCACAATATTGCTCAAAATTTCAATATTTATGCGTGGAATACCACTGATAGTAAAAAGAGCTTTGTAACTGATAGTTCTGTAGTCACGAATAATTCTTAAAAGAAACATTCTTTGAATTTTTCTTAGAAACTTGTAGTTTACTTTCTTCAGTGTCCACCCCAAATCCTTTATAATGCCTGTGCAGCCAGACCGTTTACAGGATTCGAACCTCCGACTGAACTACCAACTGTTCAGCAAAATTTACCGTTTGGCTGCTGGTGAGCCATGGAAAATTTGGAAATGAGAAGGATTCAATGATTAATCATTCAATTTTCAATCTCTGTGTTCCTGTTTCTCACTGGTAGTGCTTTTATAGAGATGATGCTATCAGGATTTGGAACAGAGAATAAATATCTAGCCTCGCCAAAAGCACAATGGGCCAAAAAGTTTTTTCCTACAGTTTTTCATATAAAATATTTTGAAAAAAATTGATCAATTCAACAGATTTTAAATTAACTCAATTTTTGACTGGACACAGCAATTTTAAGAGCTATTTAAAGCAATTTAGACTTGCTTTGAGTGTTTTGTGCAGCTGCAATAGCGGCAGTGAAGATAATCATATCCTTCTTAAGTGCATTCATCATGTCCAACAGAGAAAGACCACATTAAAATACCCGTCTGTGTCTTGTCACACTTTTTTTTTTTAAACTTTTAGAGACTAAAGAGACAATTCCTGCATTTTGGAATTTCAATCTCAATTTAGGTTACTGAATTCTCTTTATTTTATTTATAATGTTTTCTTTTATTTATTATTTTTCTTTATTCCTCCCCCACCCGCCTTTGCTGTGCTATTGTAAATTCATTTATTCATTTTGCTAATGCTATAATTTACTTGTGTAAGCCTTGCAGTATACTTTGCATAACATGGGGAGATGGAATTAGCATTAAAAAATATTCGAAAAACAAAGGGCAACTAGAAGAAATTACTTGCAGATAGTAACCTCTAGATTTCATATAAAAAAATATATATAAATTAAAATTTTTTTCTCTGCTGTTTATTATTACTGTCTTTGTGTGTTTTGATAAGTATTTAGTAAGCGAAATTTAAAATTTAGTTACAATGGATATCAACAGAGATTATGACATGGTCTCGGGAAAAGATTTAGAAATGAACATTTGAGCATCCTGATTCAATCCAAAGCTAATAAAGTAACTCAAAGGTACATAATTTAGGAGATGCTGCACTTGAAAGAAGCATAAAATATATATATATATTGGATTTGTCTTTGGTTCAAGTTATTAAACTATTCCAGAGCCAAGATAATTGTAGATAGAAGAGAAACATGCCAAACTGAAATATAAAATTAGTAAAGCAACATCCTTGTGTTTAGCATAGATTTTAGTCAAGATTCTATTTATTTTGAGGAAAAACAGGTTCTCTTTCTCTTTATTCCTTTTGGGTTTAAATACAACAGTGGCATTCCCATTGCTGCAGATTTGCTCCTGATGAAGAGAGACTTCTACCTGTTTGCTCTCAAAATTGATATATCTATGCCAAACACAAGGTTGCTGCTTTGTTAATTTTATGGCAAGATAATTGTGTTAGAGTTGCAAAGGTGAAAATAGCGGCAGGTGAACAAACCCATCCTGTGCAAAGATTTTCCTTTGGAAGTGATACATGATGAGGGCTTGTTTTTACCAGCCCCAAAACAGTTTAATATTTGTAAAGATATTGACTTTAAGGTTCTTAATAAGATAGTTAAAACTAGATGTGATAAGATACTTGTTAAACCTTTTGTGAAAGGACAATTGTAAAAATGTTATTATTATTATTTTGCATAATTGTACTATATATTATTTAGTCTCTTTGTTAAGCATATAGTATTTTGATTTATGTTCCACCCACCATAAATTAAAAATGGGAGGAGATGTTACAATCAATTCACTGGTTGTGTAAGTATAAATTTCTTTAGTTATTTCTCAGGCTTTGGCAACACTGTATTTTTAGTTTAAATTTAGAATATTAAAAGAAAAGTGGAGATGTGCCATGCTTTCATCCTGAGGTTTATTGCCTGCTATATTTTAATTAAATATATATATATATATATATATTTAACTGGCCAGCCAACTAAATGCATGAAATTCAGACAGAATCTTGTTTGCTAATAAAACACTTCCTTTCATTAAATTACAATTTCTGCCTTATCAGTTGTTTTTAGATTGAGCATTGGCCCATGTGCCATTTGAGTTTGAAACCACTGGCTTTAAATTGTTATGCAAATTTTATAGAAAGAATATATACACTGTGTCCATAAAAGTCCTTACTCAGCCTTTATTTTAGCAGCAACTGGTCGTAAACATATACCTTCAGTTGCAAAAGTGTTTTAAATGACAGACAGATTAATGCATTGGTAAATTTAAATAATTCAATTTTGTAAAAATTACAAAATCCAAATTTTTATATGTCTTTTCAGTGAGTTCCATTCAGTAAGTACCATAAGTTCTCCCTCGATGTAGGGAAGGGGAGGAATGACAATGCACGAGTGAGCTTTTCTGCTTATACAGCTAATTGGGCTTGATCCCCTCCCCAAGCTGGCAACTCGCTCTGTCCATACATTGAGAATGAATAGTAACTAGACGATCAGCTGCCTTCACATGACAACCACTGTTCACATGACAGTTCATAAAGGCACAGCAGAGGTATGCAATGGTACTGTCAAGTCTGATTTGAGCTCTAAATCACTAGATGAATTTTAGATACTCATTTAGATACATATTCAATTTTTATTGATGGATTAAATAATTAATATAACATAATTATATATATAATATATAATAACTATTCGAGTTTGATTTCTTTCCCTTTAAATGCCATTCGAAGACATTGTTTTACAATTTAAATTTACTAGTGTTTACTTTAAAATTTTGTTGTGTTCGGTATTTTCATGCAAGTAATTTGTAAGTTTTCAAGTCTAAAAATGCATTATTAATATCCCCATGAAGTTTTATTACCTTAACACCAATCTGGTAATTATACAAAAAATTCATTTAATTACAAAATATTTTTCATTTTTAATGATTGCAAATACTATTATGAGTTTGCTGTGTGCAAATACTGAAACCTGTGACTGTTTTTTAGAACATGAATTCTATATGATTTTCAATAAGACGTCTATTTTGAAAAGAATTATATTAATCACAAAAATGTGCATAGTCTCTTAACATCAGAAACCTTTCTCCAAACTGATATTTTAGTTTTAGTTGCCCACATTTGCAAACATTTAACTCTTGAATTTGTCTACAGCCTCCAGGATCCCTGATTTTAATGCCAAGTATCTCAGTTAACTTTTGTCCTAAAAAAGACGTATTTTTTGTGTATCATTTTTCATAATGACTGTAAAATTTTTCTAATCATTAAATCTTCTTTAAATTAATCTTTTTAATTCTTATAAATGTTATTGTTTTTAATTTAAAATACCAAAACCTGAATCTTTGCATCATTGCAAACATTTTGTGATTGGAAGTCTGACTACTGACAACAGTTGTGAAAATAAAGGCTGGACAAGGATTTTTTCTGCAATATTTAATTCAAGTAATTTAAATTTAAAAAAGCAATTTGGAAACTTATTTCTCTTTTAAAAATGATTGCTGTACTTCAATATTAAAACATTATTTTCACATACCTGATTTTTCACTGGGGAAACATAGACGACGAGATAAAAGTATTTCTTAACATAAAGATATTCTCTACTCAAATGTATGAATCTTCGTTCGACATTCTTTTTTCTGGATGGAATGATTTCCCCTCTCTCAGATAAATTTTCAGCTTCAGTGCTGTGAAATAAATTATAATTCACTCTATAGTTACCAACAGAAGAATAAAAATACTCCTTCAGTGAAACAAAAATATAACAGTGATGTCAGATAAAGAGCTCTCGTATGATATTATTGTGTAAATTTGCCCAGATTTTACATGCTACTCCTGTATATTTGTACACAGTGCATGACACGCTCAGCAGGTACAGACACATACACAAATATAGCATGATCACAAACACTAGGTGTGTCAAAACTCGCACGAGTTCACGTCACCCTCGACTCATTTTTTTTTTAAGCTTTTGTTTAACTTCTTCATTAAGTAATATATTAAGTAATAAGAAATCTGTCAGCATGTACACATTTGTATATTCCTCACATTACAGGAAAACAACGGCACATAGAGCCAACAGATTTTGACCACGTGTACTTCTCCACCCGAACATGGACATCTCAAAGCCAGAATTTTGAATTTGTTTTTTTATTAACAAACTCAGCAATCTGAAACCCAGCCATGGCAACACTATTCAAAATAAAATATATTTATCTAAAATACAATACCCTGTTACGATTTAGCAAAATATAACATATTAACGTTCCAATTTTTATCTGCAAACCACATTATTTGAAAGCAGTGTTTTGCCACAGCCCGAAATAAAATACTTTTACCTTCCACATACCTTCACTAAAGCCTACATTTAACTTTTACACTTTTGTCTGTTATTAAGCAACAAAACAAGGAATGTCAAAGCAATGAATGCAGTTCTTACTATTTTTTCTACTTTTTAGTCCGACTGATTTCAACAAAAATGCATTTAAATTATGAGATGTCTAATAAGAAATATTAAATATTTTTATGAAATGACAATGACTGAACTGAGTAAAATCATTATATATATAATATATATTATGAGGCAGCTGGAATTGCAAGCAGCTAGTCAAGAAAATACAGTCAAAAGTCTTTAATCCGGACTTGTCGGGATTTCTGCGATTCCGGATTATCGATTTTTTTGGATTATAGATCAGCAGTTTAAATCTGGTAAGATGGCATGCAGAAATTATAAAATTAAAAATATGAAACCATAATTTATAAAATAATGAGCAATTATGATCTAAAGGGTATCAAAATTTACAAAAAAAAAAAAGCTTTTGTTTACATTATTAAACATTTCTTTCAACGCGCGCATGCGTAAAGCATACATTACGCATAGTCGAAATTAGAAAATTGCAACCAGAAAACTATTTGATTTGTGTTTGTGATATTTATAATGACGAGGAATTTGATTTAAATCATATCAAAGACGGAGTACATAGACGAGATAAAATACTACATTTAGTAAGGAATTATATGCCAAATAAAATAAAAACATCTGCGCTGAAGATAACGATAGTGCTGACAGATCAACTTCCAGTTCATTGTGCGCCCGCCGCGGCATTCCCTGCGCGCAGAGCAGTGTGAAATTGATAAACAGATTTCGGAATGGTTAGATAAACAAAGGATATGCCTTTATCCATTTTTTGCAGCAATTCCACCTTTTGTTTGATGGACATCGAAACATACTTTCGTTTTGTAGATCCTTTGGGAGCTCCAGCATCGGAAATTCTATTTGACATAATCGAAAGTTCAAGCTTACTTTTATAAAATTGCTCTTACAGTCTGCAAAAAATAATAAGCTGGATCCAATTCGAAGATTAAGGAACAACGCAATCATCAACATTAACTGAAATAGAAAATTAGATAATTTTAGCTTATACTGTCCGTTATACATTAAACGCGCACGCGAAAACGTATTCTGCGCTTGCGCACACCCATATGCGCAGTCATAAAGGTCTTACGCGCATGCTTAAAAGCCTATGCACATGTGTCAACGCGCCACATGCGCAGAAAGATTTTAGCTTTGAGGTCCGGATTATAGATCTTTCCGGATTATGGGTGTCCGAATTAACAACTTTTGACTGTAACTAAATTAATGGTCTGAAAATCACTAAATCAGCATGCTTCCAGACATCAGAAACTAGATTGCAAGAAGAAAAATGACACATATCAAGAAAGACGCAATATGTATACATCTGCTTCATGCTTTCATCAAGTTGTCCTGTCTACTCTTTAAAAAACTACCTCTTGAGCAGGTAGCAGAAAAAAGGGTAATCATAAAAACAGTAATTAATAAAAACATTAAATATAAAAAAGAAAACATATATAATGATTTTAATTAGCAATTATATAAAATCATTTATTAAGAAAAAGAAAACATATTCAGTCAAAAGACATTAATTCGGACACCCATAATCCGGAATGATCTATAATCCGGACCTCAAAGCTACAAACTTTCTGCGCATGTGTCGCATGCATTATGCGTGCGCATAAGACCTTTATGGCTGCGAATATGCATGTGCGCATGCACATAATACGTTTACGCTTGCGCGTTTAATATATAACGGACGGTATAAGCTAAGCTAAAATTTTTTAATTCAGTTAATGTTGCAGATTGCGTTATTCGAATTGGATCCGGCATATTATTTTTTGCAGACTGTAAGAGCAATTTTATGAAAGTAATTTTTTTTGTAAACCATCAGTGATGATTTAGAGGTCTGTTTGATTTCTCCAGTTCCTGTTATGTTCGTAGTATAGAAAGATTCTCTAAATGTAAAATGTCATTTATGTCTTTATTACACTTCTTAAATGTTTTTTATTTAGAAAATTTCTCATAAGGAGCAACACTTACAGCAATTGTAAGAAAAGTTCATAGTAGTATTACAATATCTGGAACTTTGTTCTGAACATTGTATTTAGAATCACTTGCAAAAGTTCAAAAGGACTGCCCTTCCACATTTCTCTTTCGTTTGACCTTAGTAATAACAGAAATAAAGCTCTGAAATATTTCTCTCTCAATGAGAAATTCTTTATTAATGTCATTTTGATCATAATTTAGTTGATATTTGGTATTTGTAATTAAAACGTTTGAAGGAATAAAAAAGACATAACAAGATGAAATCTCATGGTGGTTCTTTGAATACTTCAACTACAGCAAAAACCGTTTTACTTCTCAATTTAATTCTATATGAAAATTTAAATGCTCATTATTCTTCACCAGCATCAACGATCCACATGACTGACCCCCTTGAAAATAATGTTCATATTGTACATCATATTGTTACATTGGTTGGGCATTTAAATTTATTGTTTGATTTGTTAGAGAATCAAGGTTTACTAGTTAGACATGACATGACACTGGTAGCCATCCCTATTTTTATCTATGTATTTTTAAAAATTGTTTAATTTGCAATTGTTTAAAAACACAGTGATATGGTAAATACACGTTAATGTTTTTGTGATTTTCTTTTTTTTTTTCTGCTTGTGTTCTGAAATGATGCATTCCATGTAACTGAGTTTAACCAGCAATGCTGTTACCTAGTAAAGTGTCTGATTGCTTGGTGGCTGTGGTGGAATACCTACTGTATGAAGAAAATTAAATAAAATATTAATATGGTATTTTCAGAACTTCATTTCATTCGCTTCCCACTAAAATGTAAAAATCTTAATCATGCAGAAAGATTCTCTTCTTTTTGTGATTTCCTGCTTTTTATATGCTCATTCTCTTTGATATTAAAGGTCTGCATGCAATCCTCCTTTGTGTCAAATACACTGTCTCAAACAGACCAATTTGTCATCAGCTTACAGTAATGTGAATTGATGATAAAATGCCATTTTCATACTTAAATATATATAATAGCTTACCTAATACTGTAGTTTCTACAATTAAAAGATGAAGAATCTATATGTATATTCCTCACTTTGCAGAAAAATGGCACATTTAGATCTACCCGATTTCAACACGAACATGTGCATCTTGAAGCTTGAATTTTGAATTTATTCCACGTTTTATGCATATTTAATGAATTTTTTATTAAAAACTGAGTGAATTAAAAGAGAGCAGTGACAACGCTGCTCAAAATAAAGCACTTTTATCCCCAGCGGCCAGGCTGTTGACATTCAGGCATTTTCTATTTAACTTTCAGATTATATCTGCCTGTTATTATATAACAAATCATGCGATTTAAAAGCAGTCAAACACAGTTCTTAAAAATATATTTTTTTTTTTTACTTATTACTATTTTTCTGTTATGAAATCTGAGTGATCTAAATAAAATATGTTTAAATCATGAGATGTCTACTTAGAAATATTAAATATTTTTATGCAGTGACACTTGTTAAAATCATTATATAGTCAAAAGTCGTTAATCCGGACTCGTCGGGACTTCAGCGATTCCGGATTATAGATCATCAGTTTAAATCTGGTAAGATGGCATGCAGAAATTCTAAAATTAAAAATATGAAACCGTAATTTATGAAATAAAGAACAATTATGATCTAAAGGGTATCAAAATTTACAAAAAGAAAAAGCTTAATATTTATTTGTTTACTTTTCTACTACTACACTGAAAGAAATGTTTACTAAACATTTAAAATTAAGTTGTTTAAGTTGCTTCATTTCATGTGCTAATACTTTCTCTTTAATTCTATTAAACAGACATAATTTCTTGTTTAGTTACAAAGTTCCGCTGTTCAAGTCCTATATTGCATTCTTCTTTATATCTAGAAAGATTTTTATGAAATGATACAAGCTGGAAACATTAATATGATTATATATTTTTTCTTTTACGTGATAACTATTTTAAATAAAAAACATAGATTAACATTATTAAAGAAACAAACAATATAAGGATTAAAATTTTCACAGTATTTGTACTCCTTATACGTTTTCATCGGAACAAGAAATATGAAAAATACAGAGTGCCTACGCCAGAATACAAACTATGGGCTTTCCAATTACACCATGAAGATAATAAGAGAGAAAATACCTTACAAGCGGAAAACCGATTATTTAATGTACATTTTTGAAATAATAATAATTAAGAAGCGACGTAAAAGGTGGGAAGGAAAGAGAAACATGCATTAGAAAAAATTAAATGCTTTCACTAATATCTTTACAATATATTTCTGCCGCCATGTAATGAGGAAAGGGCTTAAAAAATCGAACTCATACTTTACTCAAAAAATGAACACTGTCTCACGTACAGGGAGAGACAGAGAGAAGATTAAATTCAGCGATGATCTCTTTAATGAAAAAGAATTAATACCAAATAAAATGAGAGAGAGAGAGAGGAGAGAGAGAAATATGCTTCTCAGAAGTGTTCTTGAAAAGAGTAGTTCTATTCAGTTCCAAATGAAGTTCTTAACAACGAAATTAATTCGATAGGAAAATGGAAATTTCTTTTATTAAATAATCTTTGCATAGAATTTCTAAATTTCATTGGCATCGCTTTCAGAGAGTATTGTTAAATTTATCTTACACAGGATTGCGATTTCTTAGAAAGGGTGATTACAGGATTGCGATTTCTTAGAAAGGGTGTTTACAAAAACTTATCTCGACTGTTTTAAACAGCTAGCCGCTGCCGAAAATAATATTTAGAAAATCTGATGTGTACACCACATGACTTCCTTCTACGGAATATTAAATTATACGCACTTTTTCTTGCATTTTATTTAAACTTATTAGATTGAATTAAACTTATGTCGCCGACAGCGCATAAACCACAATAGAATAAATGCATTCTTTAAAATTCACTTTGTTTACCATAGCAACACTCTAGCGCTAGGTTTACTTAACAGTATTATATTTCATTAATTATTATAACTCAGAATGCACAAAATGTATATCATTTAAAGAATTATCTAATCGTTTCCACATGTTCTATTCAAATACTATAATAAAGCTAGAACTATGTATAAAAGAAATTAAGCAAACAAAACAGAAACACTTTTTCACAGACGATTGAGTATTTCTCATTTAATTAATTCAGTTCTCACTTCGCAAGAAGGCAAAAATACATAAAACTCAAAATATCTATATTAAAAATTACGAAGTAAATCTCAAATGCTTATTTTCTCGAAAAAATTCCAGAAAGAATTAAGCATGATTTAATTGTCAATAATAAATGAATGCGTTATCTTTATTGTTGCGAAGCTAAGTTTCTCTAGATTGGCAACAAATCCACACTAGTCTCCTGTTTCAAATGTAAACATCAATGGCCGCCATTAAAAATAGGTTCAGTGGCAATTAAACAACTTTAAAATTGCTGATAATTCTAAAAATATTGCACACAGATTTACTAAAGGTATAAAATCCTTAACCAGAAGATAAAAACAACATAATTCAATCATTTTTAAAGCCAAAAATGTACAATTTACAAACATATAAGAGTAAAGAAACTGAGATCACTATGCCGGGTAATAGAGTGGATATATATATATATAAATATATTTATATACGTTTGGTGCAGCCGATTGCAACCCAAATACGAGGTGCACATCTACATGTTATAGCAGTCCTATATACAAAATTTCAATGTTCTGAGGCTACTCGTTTTTGAGTTATGCGAGATACGTACGTATGCATGAATGTACATACGTACAAACGTTCGTACAGACGCCACAAAAAATTCTCTTCAGATTTCATTTTAAAGCAGTTTTATAATTTTTTTGAAGGAAAAGAGTATTTTATTCTGTCCTTATTTACAGATATGACGCAAAAACATCATTAAATTGCATTCGATAGCGGTCAAAATGGATATTTTTGTTGAAATATGCTGCCTGAAACTTTTCGCGATTACAATACTTCCTTTTTACTTCGTACAAGGAAGTAAAAAGGAAAGTAAAATAATAATTTGATTTTAAACATATCTAAGTTTTTCTATAAAAATTAAATGTAGAATTTCAGTTTATTGCACTATATGCAATTATTTGCTTGTATATCAAGAGGTGTGGAAACTTCAGATATATCTTTTGCCCCTTACTAGCTAGGGCACTGCTTACCACATAAAATTTGACAGTAAATTCACAAAATATTTTTAAATAACAGACCTTTGAAATTTCAAATAAAGTGGTGCTATAAAAAAATTTTCAGCCTTTTCTCGGTTCATTCTATCAGATGACTTACGCAACTTTTTCTGTGTTTTATACTTTATTTTTAAATATCACTTTCTTTGCATTTATGCCACATAAAATTTAACGTTGAAATCACAAAATATTTGAAGACAGCTAAAGTGTAGGATTGCTATACATTTTTCTTTATAATCCCTATACTTTTTCTTTAAAAATAATACATGGCAAAAATACTATATGATAAAAGCATAGAAACATCCTTATGTTTTTATTGCCATACATTTTTTTGTTATAATATTTTTTTTTTAGAATGGTAATGACATTTGGTGGCAAAATCCTTTTATTTGAAAAATGATATGGACAAAAAAGTGAGGATAGAGACTAATAGGACCTATGGTGCTTAAAAAAAAAGTACAAAACTGACTGGAGGGTGAATAAGCATAAGCATGTAAAAGTTCAGTTTACTGAGGAACATTAATATTAATACAGATTTCAAGTTTTAGTTTGAGTTATCAAAGTTTGTATGTTTAGCCTCAGTCTTGTATTCCTGACAATAAATACAATTACATAAAGTGCAAAAAAGTGTATCAATAAGAATAATGATATTAAATATAAGAAGATACACCCAGAATAATAACAAATACAAAAAAGGTATGTCCATAACTTTATTTCTTATTTTATTGACTGATGCTCCCTTGTATTTACATGAATACTATAACTAAAATATTGTATGGAAAACTATTTTTAAAAGAAAGAATGCATTTTAAAAGATATTTAAAAGAATGTTTGAACTTCTCTATGATATTAAAGATTTCAACTATCCAAACTGTAACAAATATTTTACTCACTATAAACTTCTCTTAAAATCAGTTTACTTTAATATGTCAGATTTTAATTATATATAATGTAGAACTGGGTTTCTTGCCTTCAATAACATAGAAATTAAATTTGAAAGAAAAATTAAGCATCTTAGATTTCATCAATTCACTTACAACTTCAGGCGCTGCCATATAGAAGATAAAAATACTTTATTCCAAGCAGTGGCAACATACTTCTTTTCAACTATTGAGTTTTCTGGTAAAATTTTAAACATAAATATCATAAGCTTTGCCAAGTGGCTTTTATACCTGTGAATTTTTAACCAAAAGTTCCTTAAATTTGCACAAAATATGAAATAAATAAAATAATTCAAAATTCTGGCTTTGAGGTGAATGTGTGCGGGTGGAAGACCATGTGCATTCAAAATTTGATGGCTTTAAGTACAGACGTTTTTCTGCAGTGTGAGGAACATACAAATTTACATACCTACATACATATTCTTCATTATCTAATAGTAGAGATATATAAAAATAATAATAGCATACCATGTTTCAGAATTAGCAGATTGTTTAGTACACCCAAAAATCCAGTCTTTTTTAGCCTAAAAATACAGACAATATTTTAAAACTCATTTTTGAGATGCATTTCAGAAGCAAAAATATAAAATTAGTAAAGTGATCTAATTATTGAAATATGCCACAAATGCAGGATGAAAAGAAGTAAAGTAATTTACAACACAAACAAGCTATGCCTCAGTGTATAAATCAAATAAATGCAAAATTAAAACTTAAAATGTTGCAAAAAAAAAAAAAAAAAATGTTTAGAGTTAGCGTCAGTGCACTGAATTTACAACAGAGTGAGAGAAAGAGATGAAAATATATTTTTCATGTGAAATCAAAAGCATTAGCACGATCTCCATGCTGCAACGATCAAGAACCTTCTGGAGAAATTGAAATGTTATTAATGTACATTTCTTAATATCAGATTAGGTTAGGTTATTGGAATACGGCAAAGTACACAAGGGCTACTGCATAAGGGGAGAGATACCTTCATGGAGGAAATTAGCTCGAATTCATGTTACACATGGAGAAAGCTGCAAACCCAACCAAGCAGCCAGCCTGTTCATGTTGAATCAAACCCAGTTTAATTCCTAGTACTCTGCAAACTTAACTATTTGGCCACTTACGGAACAAAGATGCACTTAATTAGAGTAAGATGAAAAGTTCAGGTCACAGCCATGCAGTGGTATTATAAGAAACTGGAATGAACAAGCCGGCTGATCTATTCAATAGCAGTGCCATGCACGATTTCAAGACTACCCTGAAGAAGAGGACCCTTTAGACAATTTCTTGGAAACTGGACCTCCAAAACCTAATGTCAGATAAGCAAGAATGTACAAGGCATATGAGACTTAATACTAAAAAGGAAGGGGTGGGTTTGCCTGCAAGTTTTGAAGGAAATTCACCAAATCTGTCAATGGTAGAAAAAAAACTCCCCCAAACTTGAAAAAAAAAAAAAAAAAAAAACCATTTCAATACCAAAGTGATGCTGTTACTGTCACCCGACCGCTGACGCTGGTTTGATCCACATCATAAACAATCTTTTGATGGGAAAATTGGAATATGGCTCTTCATTCGTCGAGAACTGGCGAAGCAGAACTCAAGAAATAGACCTAAAGGAAATTTGGGAACAAAAAATCTTGAGTTCATGTGGAGGAAATTCCTATAGGATTCCTTATAGCACTATCACTTAATTCTATCCCAATTCTGCTGGCCCGGTTCAGCCAGTCCAGTTCTTTCCCAATTTTGAAAGTGGATGAATCTGAGGGTTCCCATCCATCTTCCTACCAAAACACTCGAGAGGACTTTTGCTTGACACATTTTAAGTGCCCCCATGTCACGAAGCCACCATACCAGCTTCTTGACCTTTTAACACAGGTTTATGTTCCTCCATAATGGGTGGGAAAGCAAAAATTAAGATGGTATTTCAGATGAATGCAAATGCTTAGATGTTTGAAACTACAAACATTACAATCAATGTAAAACATCAGATAGACAAAAAAGGGAATTAGCAAACAAAAAAACTTAAAAAAATTTGATGGGTATATGCATAGTAATGCATCAAAAATAACGAAATTTCAAAAAGTAACAAAATTTGAAGTTAAACCTCCATGTGCATGTGTGACTGTGCGCGAGTGGCAAGATCACCTGGTAGACAGTCCTGCATACACAGTCGGTGTTTTCTGTATTTTATTTTGCTAAGCTAGTGTTGCTACGATTTATAGAAATTTGATGAATGTAGCACACTGTGTACCAATAGAATTTACTATTAAAGAGTGTAAGAGAATACAGGATTCAGAAGCAGGCAATATTTGTATGGTTAACGTAATTGTTAATGGGCACTCAATATTTATTCTAACACCTGTATACATTCATCCAACTGTTAATTCAGGTGACCTTGAAAATGTTTTTATTTAGTGCATTGATAAAATATTCTCAGATTACTTCAATCAATGAAGAGTTTACTATACAGATGTTCCTTTTATTATGATGTGAGACGTCAATGTAGATGTCAAATGAAAAGGCATTTTATTTTATGAAATGTGATTTTAATCTCAATATGGTGACAAATAACTATCCAATTACAGTTGGCAATTTATGCACAGATTTAACACTTACTAGGAATACAACTGCAAACATCTTAAATTACTTGTATCTTATTTCTCATATCATCGACCAGTTCTACATAGGATCATTTTAAATGAATAAATGTAACAGATAAAAAATAAAATACATGTGTGCATGTAAAAACTTTTGTTTGTTTCACACTTCCATTAGTAATCCTACACCAGCAGCTCTTTAAATTAAAAGAGAGAGACTAGTCATTTAAAAAAATACATACATATTTGTTTAGATTTAGATAATTTTTAATGTTTTTTTAATAAATTAAAGAACAAAATGCATAGAAAATTAAAATAAATACCAAAACTTACAAACCACTCACAAACACACATGCCTTCTCCGGGTGCCACAACCAAACCCCCCGAATGTATGGCAATCGGGGCACTAACCCCAGATTATACCTATTAGTGCAGTTCAAATTATATTTATTTACTGCAAAACTATGGAAAAATTACTATCAGTGTAAGACAAAATTGTCTACAGAAGTTACAAAAACAAAAAGAAAAATATATGGGTGATAACAGATGAAGCACTCACAGCATTTGGGAGTCTTTTTATCCACAATAGAACATAATTTAACGGTCCACAATCTGGATTTTATAAACATTATACAATGAAAACAAAAAAAAAAAAAAAAAAAATTACTCAGCTTTTTGATGCAAGTTTAAACAGCGAGCATATGCTTTATATGGAATTTGAATATTGAAACTAACCCCAACTTTCTATTTATCGCCCACAATAAAATATTCTTCAGAAAATATGAATTTTAACAGATAATTCTAGCATATTAAAATTGTGTAATTGTAAAATAAATAATTTGCTACTGAATAATCTCCCAGAATACATAATGTCAGTAAAACAGTAGCTGTTTACACAGTACTTTTACTTACCAAGCCTGATGCAACTATTATAATATCTCCATCCAAAGATAAAGGAACCAACAGGTATACATCAGATAGGACCTTAAAAAAAATGTATTAAAGTTTATCATTATCAAAACTTTTCATACATCATATTTATTTATTATATAACAAAAAGCAAAGAATTTTACATATTAAATTTTTTTGTATAATCTGTAATAATAAACAAGATATCCATAAAATTTAACTCTAACAATTATCCATAACTCATTTATTTAAGAATTGGTTTGTAAGCATTAAATTTTTCATCCTTAGTTTAGGTTTATTAAATAAAATATTAAGCATTTCAAAATGTAATAGCTACTTGTTTTTAACCCTTTGACGTGTGCAATATTATTTTTATAATTTTTTTAACTAAAAACTCTAGAAATTGAATATTATGATCCTAGAGACAAATAATAGAGACAAAAAAAATCTACTCTTGCCCATTGTTTTGTGGGTGGTGGTCGCACTGTGAAACCACCGCGCGTCTAGAACTTTGAAACTTACCTAGATAGTAGGGAAAAAAACTTACCTTTTTCCGTGCGCATTTCCAATAAATGATGAAATTTACGAATGTAAAAAAAATGCATGTAAGATTTGCATAATATATATATGTTTTACATTATTTTACAAACTAAATCGTCAGAAAAAATTAAAAAATAAACATTTATGTAATTTTTCTATAGCAGTGAAAGTATAAGTATCTACATAATAAGGACGTTTGGCTATATGGATTAAAAAACTCGGTAAAATAAGGATTAAAAAAAAGACCCAGTGTTTTTTTTTTTTTTTTTTTTTTTTTTAATTTCAAAGAATAAATATTTTTTGTGACACTGTTCAAAGCATGTTTTGTCTTTTTAGTACATGCATAGACCCACAATGCACATTTTGCACATGTATCTTCTTCCGTGATGTTTCTTCCTTGTGCTACAAAATTTACACTTATTGGACCTAAATTTCAGAGGTATATGTCCAGCATTATTTAGTTTCTTTTCATCTGGCACATGAAATTTGTGGTTTTTATATGTTAATGGGGGGGGGGCTTGGTCTTTTTGGCTTTGGTACGGATCATTCGTTTCCCATTCATAGTTATTTTATTCGTATTTCATCTTAAAATATTCATAAAATATTTTTAATTACAGCAAAGTATATTTACATTAAATTTAAACCACAAGAAATAATTTATAAAATCACAATACTAGCTAGGGAGCTAGGGAAGCAAGTGTGTTGAGGTCAGAGAAAAGTCTGGAAAAGAAATACCTTTTACTGGGCACGTGCATGTATTATTTAGTAATAGAATAACTCTGTGATTTCAAAACCCATTACTATATCCGGGTAAAAATAAACATTCCTATTTGAGAAGCAAGCAAATGCCATTATGAAGAACAGTGGTTTGAAGGCATGACCACGGAGCCTCTAGAGCATTGTGACACAAAGCTCTAGTGGGGCAGTGGTTGCACCCTGAAACCACATAGTAAACGCCATACATATACAGGGTTTTTTTCTATATGCAGTTTAATTACTGCTATTTTTTATTGTTTATGATAGAAATCATGATGTGCCATGAATAACTTTTGAAATTTAAAGTTGTTTATATTAATAAAAGGATATTTTGTCTCATTGAAAACGAATTTGAAAAGGCATCCGATTTGAAGTACTAAGACGTAAAACATGTATTATTCTGTAGTCATTTTGTGTTATTTAGAGGTAAAAGATGACTAAGCAATTGATTTTCACTCAAAAATTGCGGAAGGAAGGGGAGAAAAAAATTTGAAAATTGGTGGTTTCAAGGCACAACCACCGCGCGTGAAAGGGTTAACTAAGTGACATAAACAATTTTCTGCCACATAAACCTAAATAACAGGTGAATTCAAATTTCTTTTATATACTTGGAAATTTGTTTCAGATATTTTCCATTCCCCAACTTTTTAAAATTTAATTATAAGAATAATTTGTTTCTGCTTTTTCTGTTCATCAAAGGATAACAGATATTTTAAGTTGCTATCAAAATGATATTAATTCTTCTGGGAACTCACAAATATTAGGTAATTATTCATTTATTACATTCAAAGTCATAAAAAAATTAAAGTAAATCAATTATGGTGCTCAAATTTATCAATTTTTGAGTAACTTCAGTCAAAAATTAATATTCCTGTATGAATGTAAAAGACTGAAGTGTGTTGATCTTGCAACGCGTTTTGAGTTACAGTTGCCAGACATGCCGGTTTCCCAGGATAGTCCTAGTTTTTGTTGAAAACTTTTGCTGTCCTAAAATAATGTTTTGGAGACACTGTGGTTTTCTTTTCTCACAAAAAATTTATAAAATAGAATAGGAAATGAAACAGATCCTTCATTTCTGATTTTTAGTAGAAAATTTATTTTCATCCTAAATTCTTCCTTCACTGGAAGCTACTTTTGCCATGTGTCCGAATGTTCCCCCCCCCTCAAGAATATTAAGTTTCTTGCGCAAGATACATGATCCTGTTTCACCTCTTATTTTTCAACATTCATTCATCATAAAAATAAATTATAGTAATTATAAAAAATAAAATGTATATAGTGAAATTAATGAGTTCAGTGAATATTAATAATAATAAAATTGCATTTATTGCTTTGAATTGCCTACTTTGTTAATCAGTAACAGACAGATTAAATTTTAAAGAAAAATTTAATATTTTATGTCTTGCGGAATTTCAACCCAATGGTGCATAAAATATTAAAGCATTTCATTTCAAGTACTGGCAACGTATTTTGCTGAGCTTTCTCATCGAATTTGAAACAAAATTATTTTACACTTATAATTATTTTACACTTATGCCGACTGGTGAAACACTTCTTTTTTTTTTTAATCGATAAGTTTATTGATTAAATCTGAAACATAAGTATCATATGATCTGCCATGTGGCAACATATTTACTTTGAAATATTCGACTTCAATAATCAAAATGTCATTGCATATGCCCCAACTATGAAACAAATTTTAAAAAAAAATTAAATATTTGGACTTCGAGGTGCACATATGTAGTTAGAAATGTAGTGGCTCTAGGTGTCACAATTTTTCCACAATGGGATGAAACACACAGATTAATCATTACTTAATAGTAGCGATGGCTCATAAATTACGAATTTATAAATTTGAAACAGTTAAAGAAATGTATGATGAACAGAGGCTAAACACAGAATCATTTGATTTTGAAAGTGAAGGCAAAATGGAAGAAACAGATATGAATGTCACCTAATTATTGAATGGCTCTCTGCAATATATGGATTAATCCAATATATGGTTGGACAATATATAACTGTTACTTCATAATGAAGTTAACAGAAACATGATTTTAAACAAAATTCTTCTTAATGCTTGAGCAAAACTGTTTCAATGCATTTGATACTGCTTATGAACAAATAGCCATTATTGTTTTAAGATTTAAAATAAGTTAGAGTTTTTTTAAAGACTTTATAAAGTAACATTTTTGAGTTTGTGTGTTTCTAAATGCGAAATAATGAATATGAATTACAATAAAATTTACATAAATACAAACGAACTTCATAATATATGTTAGGTTAATAAATAAAGACACATCCTTTATTCAATGACAATACTGATTTAAACAATAATTTTCATCTATTATTTAATAATCACTAAATCAGGTTATGGCTGCAATATGTTAGATAAAATTTTATATTTAAAAAAGTATAACTAACAAACTTTAAAATGGTAGTTCTCCCCTGCAGTGGGGATTTCATTACCTTCAAGGGAAGGGAATGCAATCACTCTTTTATTTACCTGTTAAGTATTCAGTTAGTTTATGAATATAAAATACAACTTTTATTCAGTTTTTTGTATTTATCAACATTTTCTATGCTTTTTTTTTTTTTTTTTTTGGTGTGTGTGTGTGTGTGTGGTGTGTGTAAGTGTAGTTTAATTTATAAAACAAGTTAAAAAATAATGTATAAATTTCAATAAATTTATATATGTAATTTTCATAATTAAATTTATATATGTAATTTTAGTTTTAGAAAGGAGAGGGAATGATCTTCTAGTAATGGTGAAAGGGGTGCAAGGGGCAAAAAATTTTCAGAACCACGGTTAAAGGATTACATTATTGAAAATTTAATTTTAAATCCTTCCCACAATTTTTTTTTACATTACCTCATTCATAACTTTTAACCATTATTTTTTTTTTTTTTAAGTCCATGCAAAATATTCTGGTTCCTAAAGCCTTTCGCTTCATCCATTACTTTTATCCATAATGCTTTTATGATAATGTAAAAAGCAAGCATTTTATTATTACCGCAAACATAGCTTAATGAGATCACATTTGTCAATGACAATTTTAATAGCAATGTGCATGAAAAAGCATCCTTCAAAGCAGCAATGGAAAATAATTAATTTAATATAAATATAAATAGAAACATACAAAGAGATACTTCCCAGCATTTTAGTTAGGAAAATGCAAAAGATTGTTTATAAACTGTTCATAATGCTTTTAGAAATTTGATAACTTATACTCTGAAGGCATCTCTCATTGTCACAGAATACAGCTGAGCAAAATTTTAAATTAGTCAAAAAAGCAACCTTAGTACAGCATAGATGTTTTCAGGAAATTTTTTTAACGGGTAAAAAAATTTCTGCAGAAATTTTTGTGACCCTGAAGAAAATGGATCTATGCTTGATTGCTCCTAATGTCAATAAGAGTTATTCAAAATCTACATCAAACTAAGGTTGATTTTTTGCCTAGTTTTAAATGCATGACTGAAATTCAAACTTAGCTGTTTGGCAACTTAATCCCTTACTTGGTGAAATTTCTCTGTGACTTGTCAGTTTTTGTTATCTATTTTGACTTCAACTGGCGACTTTACATCAGTTAAAAAATTTATAATACAATACTGTAATCATATAAATGAACTGTTTATAAGTGATGTACTTTCCACCATTTCATAAACAAATTCGCTGGACACCCATGAAATTTTTAAAGTGCTAACATTTAAAATTAGGCATAAAAGTTTTAAATTGCTAATTATGTAATTTTTACTAAAACCAAGTGACAAAATTTCCAAACCTTATTACGCGAAAATCGCCAAGCATTAAATTTCATCTCGATCCACTGCCCTGATCTAGGAAAAGTAGTGAAAGGAATGTACGGTACTTGAGAAATGTGAGTACCTGCATATCTAGAAACATAGTGGTGTCTCAAGATCATTTCAGTTTCAGACTCGGATATATTAATCTGGAAATTTGAAAAATATATATCAATAAAACACAACAGAAATGCAACGTACATATATACATAATCTAGAATTATTGAATTATTTGCAATTGTTAAAATTTCAGAAAGTCTCATTTCAATTTTCATTTTTCAATAACTAGAGGTATTTTATTATGAAGCCAGTTAAAAAAGTATGTTAGAATACAGGGTTGAGAAATAATACAGTCCACCCTGCAAATTATTATAAGGAAATTTAAAAAAAAGTACTTTTCTGTTTTGCCGGCGCAAATCTCGCCAAACAAACTTTATTGGTGACAACATACAGTATACATATAAAAAATGTTAACAAATGTTAGTTTTAAAATTTTTTTATTTTGAAGGCATAAACATTTTAATATCATTTAAAATTTTGTAAAAAGCCAATAAATAAAGACAATAATTTTGTAAAAAGGCATTAACTTAAGAATTTACTATGTTTTCATGGTTCAACATCCTGATTCGCCGGTTCATATCATGTGATCCCAAATAATCTCATCTCACACAAACGATGCTACAAAAAACCAATTCTCTCAGTAATTATCTATATTAATTTCAAGTTAAATCTTGATTTGGAATGCAAGAATTATCTCAATACATACGAAAAGCTTACTCAGAAATTATGTAAAACTGCAGTGCTTTACTTCACTAGTGCATTCTCATTAGAATTAATGCATTTAACCCTTCACTTTGCCTTTTCTATATTTTCACCTTCAGGTGAGCGGTGTGATTGCATCCTAATTGACTTAATTACTGCGAATAGCCTTAGGGCACAAAATTGAATTATCTGGTAAAAACTCTATCTAACTGTATGTAGTATTGAAAGAAACAGTGAATCTGATAAGAAATGGATGTGACTTGTTTTGAAAATGAGGTGTAAAGGTTACCAGCGAGGATATTCCGTTTGGCATCAGTTGCACCATTATTGGCAACTTTATCGCCTGTGCCGGCAAAATGGAAAAGTACCCAAAAAAATTTAAAAGTAAGATTTACAAACAAAAATAATACTATATTTCTAATGTATTTTTCTTCTTTTTTTGACTAATTTGATTGCCTAAAAATATCGGAAATAATTTAAATTCTGAAGGGTGTCACTATAATGAGAATATAACAAATGAAAAATAGAAAATTACTCGTGATTATCACACTATTACATCTTTAAAAGAAACTTACATTCCAATAAGAAAACACAGTAACATTAGCATCACAATATCTAATATCTTCATTTGTACTACCCTGTAACTTGAATCTTGCCCATTATTGTTGTCTCTGTTACTCCTTATGCCACCAATCATCCATAAATAATCAGAGAGGGTGAATGTGCAGTCGACTCAGTGAAGTCACAGAATGAAAGTCGGCTCATAATTGCTTTGCCGCAATGGGTCGGCTTTTGTATTAGGCTGGCATAAAGTTCAACAGTTAGAATAGAAATATTTCAGCATGAACTTCACAGGTAGATTGCAGGAATTTCTTTTTTGTTAGTAAGATGAAAAAATCACAACACAGATGAATTCCATTTCAGAATTTAGGAGAGCTCATGTTCTAAATGCACTGAGGAAGGGGGAAATTAGATGAATATTTTTTTAATTTGCAGAACCTGCAGCTAAAATGTTAGGGGGAAAAATATGCAAGAAAATGTGGCATTTAGTCTTTTTAAATCATTCTGTGTATGGTTAAAATTTGAAAGACAGTTATCAATCTTACACCATGATAATGATAGCCTTATGATTAGCCCAATAATAAACGAATTCAAGATTTGACCCTGCAAGTTTTTGACATAAGAAATCTTTTTAGTGGAATCTCCAAATGATGGATGCAACATTATAAGAAAATTTATGCACAAATGTACATATTATTTTCCGTTTTCATGTTCTTTTTTACTCTACTCAATGAAGACATTAAATGTTTTAAAACTAAATGTTTATATTATACTTCCAGTAACTGAATTTACTAGTATTATAATGTAAGAGTGCAAAATTTTGGAGATTTCACTAAAAAGATTTCTGAAGTCAAAAAAACTGCAGGGTCAAATCTCGCATTCATTTAGCATTGGGCTAATCATGAAGCTATTATTATTATATCAATTTACAGTGCCTAATTATACTGTCCTTTTTTAATGATTTGTCTCCGTTACATTTAATTAAAAAAATAAGGTAATGCTGCAATGCATAAATTTGCAAGGCATAATTTTAATCTATTTCAGATGCTTTTGCATTGATTAGATTTTTTATGGAGCATACAGAAATATTTTCTCCACAACTTGGAGGCAAAATTTTTAAGTGGCCTATCACATGGAAAGGTTGGACAATCCTGTTACATCACAATGCAAGTCAAGAACATGAATACTGTAATTCATCAATTTTTAAGAATGCTTTAATTTCAGTTAAAATAAAATACATATTTAGCAGAAAATAAAGTGTTAAAACATATCTAAAAATATTTTCATCATGATGAAATCTGATTTACTAAAAATAATATTGTTTATTTTTCTGAAAATATATTATCAGCAGTGGCTCCAGGCCTGGTCAAAGTAGGCAGACAGTTTTCGTAGGATGCAGTTGAGTATTCTCACATGCTGCAATTTGATAAAGATACCTTCTGCCACTTTCAATTATTAATATATTTAAAATAGACAGGCTGCAAACCATACTTGTAGCTTTTTAACTGAGTTTAAGTAACCCATTTAAATTTTAATATGGATCTCTCTTTTACACCTCATTTCATCACATACTGACTCATTCCAGAGATTTATATGCAGATTTATTTGACAAACAGTCTAGTATAAATTGAGGGAAAGAAACTGCATGAGTGTATCAGATCAACATTTGGCTGTGAAGACTACCACTCGTGCTTACTTGTAATTTAGAGAATGCCACTCCTCAAGAGAATTACACTGGCTTGTAAAAGTTAAGCATGCAAGAGTAAAATCAACAAAAATAGAAAAATAAAGCTTTAATTAACACCAAATTGCATAATATCAAATGTGTTTATGCTTGAAAGAAAACATGCATTATGTAAAAATGAAAGCAACAAATTCATAAATTATATGACGCTGCTACATTTGGGTGATTAAAAAACTGATGTTTAAGTCTAAAGATAAACAAACAAAGCTTACAAAGTATAGGAACACCCAGGACTTTAACATAAATTTTATAGTGATTGTCCTTGCTTTCAAAGAATTGATCAACCATACCAGATGCCAAAAGCCATTCCTCCTTTAGGGCAATTTCCAATTGTCTGAGACGGGCTGGAGGGGGTAAATGTGCAGAGACATGCCCAAGAGCAACACAAAGATTTTTTATGAGATTAAGGTCTGGATAATATGACGGGCACCGGGTACCCACATGAGAAATGCTCTCATTCTCCAGGTACTCATTAATGACGCTGGCTCAATGAGAACAGGCAGATTGACTGAAGTCCTACATTCAAATGGGAGATTCTTTCATTGAGCAGTCTCACAGTGGGGTGTAGAGCTTCATCCTAATATCATGCACGTCACAGAACTGCCTTTAAACCTGTGCAGCTCATTGCAATATGTTACCGAAATTCCAGCCCACACTATGCTGATGCCACCTCGGAATACATGACCTTCTGGTCCAACTGCCTGTACAAGCATATGAACTTTTCATGTAAAGCCTTCAATGCATGGCAATGGCAGATATTGTATTTATTTCCAAGTGATACTGCAACCACAACTCTAGCATTTGTGGACATCACTGGAAGTTAAAAGACTTTTATTTTGGAAAACATCTAAGATGTTATTTTCATATCATAAAATTATGAATTTTAAGATTCCAGTAATACAATCAGTAGCACGTTATAAGCCTTATCACTATGATTTGATTCTGTGAACTATTTTGATGCTAGTTTTAAAATATTTTATAATGTATGAGAACGAGTTGCCTATTTTAGTTATAATTTACTTTAATTATTATTCAGCATTACTTTAGTTGGTATTTTGTACATTAGCAGTGACATCAGCATATTGACTAATACAATTCAGAAAGGTGAAGAGGGGGAAAAAATGGTGAAGAAAAGAGAAGGTGAAGAGAAAAAATGTGTGTGTAAACACACTAGGCTGATTAATGGTTAAAAGTAATATTTTCAAAAATGAGAATAATAAAAAACAATCTGAGACAGTTCATTGAGCAGTCAAAAAGTTTTAGCTTTCTCCGCATACTTGATGCATTAACATCAATACTAATACAGTAAACTCTCGCTACAACGATACCCGATACAACAATAACTTCCTCTACTAGAATAATGTTTTGTGGTCCCGGTGATTTTGCATATAAACTAATGTTAATCTCCTCTCAATATTGCTATATTCTCTAGAACAATAAACCTCTGTAAAGCGATTTTTTCAATCTAAATTTCAGTATTATTTTCTCCCTTTATAATAATATTTTGATTTTCAAATGTTTTTTTTTTTTTTTTTTTTTTTTTTTTCCATTTTATTTTGTTATTTTTTCCGTCTATTAAGACTCATTGTGGATATTCAACTGATCCCTGAATAAATAGCTATTGTTCAGATTTCAAAACAGATGAAGACTACCCTTTTGGGAATTGGAGTGGGTGAGGGGGTTGAAGTGTAAATGTATGCCTAGTCTCATTTCTCAGTAAGCTTTGGAATTATGATAAGGTTTAAGGGCATCTAGACCTGTCTGGTCACCTTGTCACAGAACAAGTGCCCTTTGTTAGAGGAACACGGGGGAAATGGAGGCGGGGTGTTGTTAAGTGACGTACTGAAAAGTGAGTTCAAAGGTTGTTTTATAGTCTTTAACGATTTTGAGTTCTACACGAAACATTTGGTTTAAACTTTTCTTTCTTTCATGCGATATTGTTCCCTAAGATGGCAGGGCGAAAGCAACTATCTTTTCGAGATAAAACTGAACGTTATCAATGATACTGATGAGGGAATGATGAAGCAGATTGCGCGGCTAAGAAACATGGATTATCGCAATCTACAGTTGCAACGTTAAAGAAGAGAAAGCAAATCGAAGATGCTGTAACTTCAAAATGAAATTAACCCAGAGCGAAAACGACTGAAAGTTTGCGACAAATGAAAACATTGATGCTGCTGTTTAAAAATGGTTTTCAAGAGATGAGAGCAAAACAAATGTCCCAATAAATGGACCTTTATTATGTGCAAAAGCATGGAAATTTGCAGCAATGCTAGGGAACGAAACTTTCAAAGCTAGCAATGGTTGGTTAATGCGTTTTCGAGATCGTCATGGAATAACTTTCCAAGAAGTTTAAGGAGAGAAAAAGTCAGTCCCGATAAACGACGCAAATGAATGGCAGCAAAACAAGATGAAAGAAATCTTAGAAAAGTATGCTCCAGAAGACATTTATAATGCAGATGAAGCTGGGCTGTTTTTCCAACTCCTACCCGATCGAACATTGGCATTCAAGGGTGAAAAGTGTTATGGAGGGAAGAAATCAAAGTAGAGACTGACTGTTCTGTGTACAAATAGCACAGGAACGCATAGAATACAACCTCTCATCATTGGTAAATCATTGAAGCCAAGGTGCTTTAAGAACGTGAAAAGTCTTCCCGTGGAGTATAAAGCAAATAAGAAGGCTTGGATGACGTCTAAATTTTTTTTTCCGAATGGTTACAGAAGTTAGACAATGAAATGAAGAAGAGAAAGAAAAAATCGTTTTGTTGATAGATAACTGCGGTGCTCCCACGTCATTTCCAAAGCTACAAAATATCGAAATCACTTTTTTCCCTGCCAATTGCACTTCAATTTTACAGCTCTTGATATGGGCATAATTAAAGTGCTTCAAAGGATATTACAGAAACGGTTGGTGGACTCCATACTTGTACACTTTGAAATAAAGTAGAAGACCCTTTCAAAGCTGTAAATGTCAAGGAAGCGTGTGACAATATTGCTGAAGTTGGAAGTACAGAAAAAACCATTCGGAATTGCTGGAAAAGGCCGGTCTTGTGTTATGGAAGATAAGAAATCTGATAATGATGAAAATTCCATAGACAATGATCTCTCAGATGACCAAGAATGTGCTTTGCACATAAAAAAATCCGTATCCCAACTTGAGGAAACAAGCAGTAAAAAGTTTGGAATTAGTATAGAAGATTATTTAACAGCAGATGATGATCTTCTGGTTTTCGCAGGAGTTACTGATGAAGATATTCTCTCTGAAATTACTGATGAGATAGGAAACAATGATGAAGAAGATGATGATATTGATGATGATGATAATACAGGTCCATCGCAGTCCTTATTGTCATCCCAGGAAGCTCTTCAATCTGTGAATTCTCTATGGACATTTTTTTCAAGCCTTCCGTCGACAAATGAAGAACATTTTCGTGCACTAGACTCAATGCATACAGTATTGGTGAACTTAACAGTTAAAAAAATCAATAAACAAACAAAAATATTGGATTATTTTCAATAAAAAGTGTTTTCAGGTATGTGAATATTTCTGTGCTTATTTTCTGAATTTATCTTATTTATTTATTTTTTTTTAGTATTTAAAGCACTATTATTAGTATTTTACAAATTAATTTCTTCTAAATATAGACTTAAAAGTAGTATGTTATGCACCTTAAACTAATAATAATAATAATAAATAATAAATAAAAATAAAAATAAAAAAAATAAAAAAAAACCACCCCTTATTAAATGCTCAAAATATGTGGGTTGTAGAGAAGCATATATAACAATATGCTTCTCTACAACAATATATTTATTTGGTCCCTAAAATATTGTTGCAATGAGGTTTCACTGTATATCAAACAAAATTATTTAAGACAAGACATTGGGGATTGAAAATAAAGGTTCAGCATCAGACAGGACATAGTACAATAGTAGGTCATTTTAATTTAAAGCATTTATGAACAAACATAGGCTATGCCCTGTTTCTACATATTCTAGAAGTATGGAATTTGAGTTGAGACAAAACATTTAATTTTACTTGTAACAAAACTAATTAGAGCCAGAATTTTATTTTACTTATTCAAAAGGTTAGTATATTAGATTGATAAAGTGATTTTAGACAAATCTAAGTCTCAAAATGTATATACAGCTTTAATGTTGGATTTATTTTCTACTTTTTATTTCTTCCATTCTCATTCCCATGAAATTCATAGCACGGTGAATTTCACATATTTGCTTATTCGATTCATTAGAGAATTAGGAGCTTACAAGTTTTCCAAAATTTATTTTCAGATATTTTTTAAATTTCTTTAAAATTTCTTTCACTGTTTCAAAGTATTATATAGTTATCTGAAATTTTCAAACTATAGATTTTTACTTATTGTGTTTGTTGTTATTTAACTTTAGATCCAGTATTCAAAAGTTATAAATCAGTAATGCTAGATAACTGCAATCGGATAAGATATATTCTACATTAATTCTTGTGTTTCTGCATCATAATGAGAAAAAGAAGCCACCCAAAACTGAAAAAAATAAAAAGTTAATATTATACTTTAATATTTGATACACTTTTATGGAATCAGATAAAATAGTCTGTTCAGACATGTTTACAGCATCTGTGACTTGCCATGTATTAAGCACCTCAGGAAACAGATCAGTTTCACTCTGCTACTTAAATGACATAACAATAAAATACATATTCAAACAACTGTGCATTTATTAAATTTAAAAATACACATTAATATTTTGAGGGGTCTCAGTTTTAAAATATGTACTGGTAGAAGCTAAGCCAGCACCTCTGTAGTATCACTGGTGATTCAGATATTGCTGTACCTGGGTATCTGTTAAAGTTATAAACAACATCCCATGGAGGGAACCAACCTCTCGAAAGAACTTCTGACTCATCATGTATTTTGAGCACACCCTTGCTGCACAGACATTATACACTTAAAAACATCCATGCCTTCTCTGGGATTCAAACCAGAGTCCATCATCCATTTTACGGATGTTAATTCCATCCATAAATCAGCTGACAGTTTTTCAGAGTCGGTTGAGAAAATATTTTTCTGAAGAGACCATCTCATATATCTTTTATAGCAGCATAGTTATAGCTATGCCTCAATACTGGAATTCCAATTTCTATCAATTCATATTACATACTTTTCGTTATTTTCTCGAGGGCCGCAGGAAAATTAATTGAGAGCTGCAAGTGGTTCATGAGTTTGACATGCTGTAGTGTTAATAATATCATAAATGATACAAAAGTAAATAAATAGCAAATCTCAAATTACATTACCTGTTTATTTCTTTCATTGTATAAGTCATAGAAACTTCTGCATATGGTGAGTATTAGCTGTTTACACCTGAAAATATGATCAAATATATTTTAGGAGTTATATTGGTAAATAAGCCATGTAATGAAATTAAATTTGCAATTTAAAATTTAATTGCAATGTAAAACAAATTACTTATGCAAGAAATGACTTAACATAATTAAATATAATGTGCCAGGTAATGTACCACAGATGCAGAATGGAAATCAGAGCAATGACAGAGCATAACAAAGGAAAATGCTAAAAAACTGAATTCATTTGAAATAGACATACACCAACAACTTCTAAATTAGCATGTTTAACAGCTTATTTTTTTATTCATCTTGTAATAAATTGTAAAAAGAGCAAATCATCTTGTTTCAGATCATATGGATTCATACAGTAACAGTGAAGACCGATGCAGGCACAAAAACTGTCCAAACAGAGTTAAAAAAGTATCATTTTTCTACATAAATTTCCACAGATCTCAAAAATCCATGCACACTTTTTAAGGGAATGCATTTCATTAAACTTTACACTGCATTTCATTATTCATTAACGTTAAATAATTTAATTTTCTGTATGAAAAGAAAAAGAAAGAAAGATTTTTAATTTTTAAGTACAATATATATGAATACCATTTCTAAGGAATGGAAGATTTTTCAATTTTAAATTCATTTTATGTGACTATCAGTTCTAAAGAGTAAAAGATTTTTACATTTTTAAGTTCATTTTATGTGAATATCAATTCTAAAATATGTTTCAAATATATTACTAAAATATTTGAACATTTTTTAGGTGTTAGAATATTTATTTTTATGTTAATGAATGTTACCACATGTCACAGCTGTGTCTCAGTAAAACTACTATTGAAGGTTATGCCATATTTTATGTTGAAAAATATATCACGGACGTTCACATGATTGCTCAACAATGAAATAATAATACATATTTTAACAGAAAGAAGTTAGAATTCATATGTTTATGAAACCATTTATGTATGTCAGCAAGAACAGCTTAATTTAATGAAAGATAATCAAGACCATTGTCTGTTAATCTGCCCTAGGTGCATGAACTAAAATTTATACTGCAGAATTTTTCACTGTTTGTAGTCCTTCCCAATGGATATGGAGAACAAGAATATCCATCTTCTGTTCATAGTATTGAACCTCAACTACATGCGTCACTATCAAACCAATTCTTATGTATAAAAAACATTTGATTTAAATCTCCAGTTTGGAATTTATTGAAGACTATCTATGTTATCAGTCTCATACAATGGTACATCAGTATATGTAATTAAACCATTCCAGCCTCGGATGTATAGCAAACAAACATTTCCAGTAAAAAATAAAAAGAAAAGAATTGATTTCATTCTTCTAAAAAAAAAATCGTATAGTTATTATTATAACACTGCTTGAACCTTAAATGCATCATGTAGCATATCTGCAACATATAAAAAAAATGTGCATTAGTAGCATCCAGGGAATTTCCATTAACTAATCTATGTTTCTTTTCTCCTACTATATTTTTTCAGAAGGATTGTAGCACCTTTCCTCCAACAGATGGCAGTAGTGCTGATTTTTACTAAATGTGGTGTAAAGTAACACAAAACATCAGATTTTCAGAGTTCACAGTTATTTTGCATTGCATAATTCGCACTTGGAATAATGTAATTATAAAATAAAAATTCACTTACATAAAATAAAATAAGGTACACAGATTCATGCTTATTATAATTACTGATTTTTCATTACTTTAGTAATAACAGTAGTTTTTGCTTGTATTGCAGATGTGCAACATCATATGAATACTGAATTTTTACAAAATTTTAGGATATGGCTCCAGTATGGTTTTATTACGGCATTTGAAACTATTAATTTAAAAGTTTTGCATGTTCAGACTTAAATTTTTTGATTATTTATTTGGAAGTTAAGCATTATATTGTAATTTGTATTCTTGTATTATACTCTAATTTATATTATTGTATTATTTAAATTTATATTTTAGGTAATGGATGAATTACTAGACAATTAGGCTTTCCTGAAGAAAGATGCTGACCTCCAAAAAAATACAGGAGTATCTTGTTTAGCGATTTCATTGACAAAGAAATTTATGAGAGAGATTTCAAAATTATACACCTGCAATAAAAATACCAAAAGAAAATGACATTGATAATGATGCTCAAAACAAACCACAGATGCTAAACTAAATAGAGGGTCAATATGACCAGTGTCTCATCAAAACACCAGAAGGCTGAAAATATACATGGAAGAACAGAAATCGTTACATATCTGGAAATGATAAGAAATTTGAAGGAAATCTGGAATACCCACATTAAATTATCAATCTAGACCATTGTAAAATATTTTTTTGACTGATGAACTGATTTAGTAAATTTTGGATGAAAGCATGCTGCAGACTTTTCAAAAATACCCAAACAACATTGATCAAAATGGGGATTTATATTTACTTGTTGTTATATAATATTTACACCAAACTTACAGACAAGGCTGAGTTAAACTATTTACGAGCCCTAGACATTTTTTCCTGTTTACCCTCCCCCCCACACACACACGGGAAAGCCCACACATGAAAAAATACTATCCAGCAAAATTAGAAAATGAAAAAATAAATAAATATATAAGTAAAAAAAAAAAAATATTAAAGTTTTCAGATTTTATATTAAGCCTAAAGGGGCTTTTTTTTTTAACATTTTGTGTATTACCTTTATTTATTAAATATGTTCTTGGCACTTAAACCATAAAATTCAATTCAACAGCAATATCACAAAATAATTTTAAAAGAGCCTATCTTTAGAATTTCTGATACGCAGTCTCGTGCGCTGGAGATAATCCCCCCCTGTAAAGTGTTGATATTGCTCACTTTGAAATCATCAAGATTTTTAATCAAAAATTCATTAAAGTTTTATAATATATGAAATAGGTACTAAAACAAATTCCAAATTTGGGCTTCCAGATGCTCATATTTGAGTGGAGGACTGTCATTCAAAATTTGATGTCTCTAGATACCGTTGTTCTTTCACAGTGCGAGAAATATACATAGACTGATGCAGATTCATCATTATTTAATTTCTGTAAATATAATGCAGGGCTCTAATATTTGGTGGCAACAATTTGATTTGTGAAATGCCATTTATAGTGAACCAACGCAAAATGCTAAAACGAAATTGAGCATATCAGACTTATACAAAACTTACTGAGCATATCAGAATTAACTTGCTTATCATAAGCTTTCCTTCTTGCTAATAAATAAAAATAATCCTGGATTGGTTAAAAAAACTAAAGCATATGTTATTTTTATTAAAAAGGGGATTTTCAATATAAAATCAATAAATTTTTATTCCAATAAAAATATATACTTTTATGATTATATACATGCACCTGATTATGTCAATACACCAAGAGAATTAGAAACGTTTGATCATATCACATAAATTCAGAAACGAAATTATTTTGTTAAACATTAAAAGTAGTTTTCAAAAAACAGAAAATTAATTCAAAAATCTCTTCCCTCTCCCATTTTCAATTCTTTATTTCCTCATGAGTGATAGTTTCCAAAGCATTTTGTTTGGTAAATTGTACAGTAATTTGTTTAGCAAAGCTAAGCAAGTTAATTCTGATAAGCTCAATGAGTTTTGTATATAATATTTTACACATTTTAATATTGAAAATAAAAATACCATTCCCAGTTCCATGCCCCAACCTGCAGTTAGTCAGAATAACAATATTTATATTCAGTACACCATTTACAAGAGTAAATGTAAAAAAAAAAAAAAAAATCTATAGATTTTAGTAAAAGAAATTTTTTTATGCCTTTTTATTAATGAAAATGTAAAAGTTGATGCTTTGATTAGGCTTTTCAAAAAACTGTGCCCTAGACATTTGTGTTATTTGTCTATGTTATAGTCCTGCCTTTCTTACCAATTGTAGTTCTATATATAGCAAAGCATTTTAAAACTTTTAAAGCAATAAGAAAAAATTACCAAGGAGCATATCTGTAAGGATTATGATGATGCAAAACTTATGCTCAATGGTATTAAAAGTAAAGCGCCTGAAGAAATGCTGTTAATTTTTAGATGCAATGTTTATTAAATTTACAAATACAGATCAGTGACAGGGTTCATAGCCACATTTTAGTTAAAAAAATAAGCACCTATAAGCACTTTTCAAGCACATTTTAAGGAAAAAATAAGCACCTGTCTAATTACATTATACACAAACGCACTGCTAACCTTAAAGAAAAATTACACTTGTAATTTAAAATATGAGCAATGCAATATTTATTAAGAGAATGAGCATTACCTCACCATGGAAAACATTAACTTTTTTTTTTAAATTTGAAATGACGTTCAATTACGAATTAGTTTACAATGAGAGAAAAAAACTATGCAGAACTAAACCATATTACAAGATTTAATGATGAAATTCAGTTCAAATATAGAAATAAATAATAATAAGCCATATTAATTGTATTCATTTGGCACCTAATAATAAATGCAATAAAAAATACCCTAATAATAAATGCAATAAATAAATGCAATAAAAATAAAATAAATGCACCTAATAATAAATGCTAAAAAATACGTTTGGCACCTAATAATAAATGCAACTCATATTTAAATAATTTAACTTAAATCAAAATTCTGAACATTTTCTAAATTTTCATTGCATAACAGTTTTCCCTTAACATATATTCCAAGCAAACAAATTTAAGTAAAAAAGAGGCACTTCTAATTTTCAACAGACTGCGTTAAATTTCCGGAATAGAATCAATCTTCGCTTGGGTTGGGTATACTGCAAAAACTTTTAGTCCTATTCAATCCAGATTGCACAGTGACAAAAAAGAGTCCGCTCCTTCAATATTACAGATTTTGCGGAGAAAGGAGAGAACCTCCCAACCTTCGTACTGTATAACGTATTGGGGGAAAAAAAAAAAAAAAATTGATTATTTGATTACTTTCCTTTTAAGCCATTCCGAATATTATTCCTTAGAAAGCTAATCTGTCAAAAACACGCCCATTTTTGGAAGTTTATCTATACTTCAGTAGTTACTGCAACTCTATTATTATAAATATTAATGCATATGCTCATAATACAAGAATATTGATTATATTAAACACAAATATGAATTGACCACGTGGAACGAGAATGCAAATTATTAAAATCTTGATAGAAATTCAAACGTGTGTAGTATTTGGGTGGGAGGTAAAAGAATACCGAATGTACCGGAATTTTCTACCGTTTTCGCAATTCTTTGACCAACAGAACGACGTGCACCTGTCTATATTCTCTCGCGTGCACCATAGGTTACGTTAATGCAGAGAGAGGGGGGAAAAAGCAATTTCCAGAAGTATGATTCATCATCTGACGTTGCATGCATATAAGGAAAAAAAGTTGTTTATTTAGTTTCGGCTTTGGTATGGGGAAAAAATGCACAAAAAAAAAAAATAAAAAAATACAAATAAATAAATAAATAAATAAAGGCTTTAAAGAAAAAGTAAGCACCTATAAGGGCCTTTATATTCTATTTTCAAATATAAGGACTTATGAGCACTTGTAAGGACCGCTACGAACTCTGAGTGAATCAAACAACAGCTTTGCTCTAATTTGTTATTCTGTAATGCATACTTGCAGGCTTGAAAAGCACAAAATAATATTATTCACAATCAATATACCATAAAAACACAATTTTCATTTTTAAAGAATTAGATTTTTTAAAAATTATTTTAAACTAACTAATATTGATTTCTGATAGCAAAACAAGATTAGAAAAGAGATTTTTGAAATAATTTGACATATTTATTAGCTAACACAATGCTCCTAGTCAACAGAGACATAGCTGAAAATATTTGTATTTTTTATGAACTGTTCAAAATTCACTAATGAAAAAGTAATTTATTTAATATCATATTGAAATGCATTCAGACAAACATTCCTTTGAAAAAGCAGCGAACTTGACCATAGAAACAGACTTTTTCAGACAGCAGTGGGAGCGGAAGAATCAACTCGATCCCGCTGCTCATTTGATTCTTTCTCGATTCTTGCTAACTGTTCTTGATTAGCTCTTTGAAGGTTAAGGTTATTGTATCGTTAGTGGGAAGTGAGTCAAAAGAGCAGTTTCGCTCTCCTCCCTCTATTAATGACATGTTCCATGAATAAGAAGGAAACTTTAGGAGACATTTAAAAAAATGTACTATGCAAATGAAGTTATTTGAACTTTTAACTCAGTTATACTGAAGCTTGATATAAAAATGTTAAAATAAGTCTTTTTAAAGCATACAAAACACAGTCTAAAATTATTAAAAATTAATTCAATATAATTGACATAAGCATATTACCAGACAATTGCCAAATGATCAGTTGAAACCCAAACACCAGGAATTGCAGGAGTCTAAAAAATTATAGTAGATTAGTATCCAGCTGATTCATAAATGAATGCATTTTATGAACCCATATACAGTTGATGCCACTTAATGTGATCAGGGTTAATGCTATAATTTGGATATTGTCTCCAATTTGACCAATCCCACACATTTGTAGACGAAAACATGGAAATATGTTGCTTATTGTGATCAATAATTTGGTTATATGAGCAAGCTATTACAGAATAAATTTTTTAAACTCAATTGAAGTCGCCAAGTAAAACCAAAATAGATTCAAAAAATTTCCCAGTGTCAGAGAAATACCCCAAATTGAGGGGTTAAGTCGCTAAACAGCTTGGTTTTGATTTCAATCAAATGTCTAAAATTAGGCAAAAAGGCAACTTTAGTGTAACACAGATTTTGAATAACTCTATCCACTGTGAGGTCTTTCTTCCTCAGGATAATCTGCAGAATTTTTTCACTTCCTTTGAAAAATTCAAATTCTTTGAAAATATTTACCACAAAATAAGATAGCTTTTTTGCTTAATTTAAAATTTTACATTGACAAGTTATCTTCCAATGACAGATGTGTTTTGAATACTAATATTGGATGCAGAGTAACAATCAAATAATTTCCAGAAATATTAGGAACAGTTCATAAATGAACTTTTGCATTCAGGACATTATGAACTGTTCAAAAATAAACTTTTGCATTTTCCTACTGAAAATACCTATTTAAATGCTAACTGCTTTTATATTAAATTAGTTAAACTCCATTGCCATTCTGAAGGATACTTTTCCAATCATTTAATTTTAAAATTTGATTAATATTTTTACTATAGCTGTGGACAAACATGATCACATTAAGTAGCACATGCTGTAATTATCAAAATGTTAAAAATCATCAAAAATACTGAAAGGCAAACATTATCAGGTGTTTGCATATTAACATTACCATCTTGGTGAATTTTACAAAAACTCAATTACTACATATATGCATCTTTAATACATACAGTCAAAAGTCGTTAATTCGGACACCCATAATCCGGACCTCAAAGCTACAAACTTTCTGCGCATGCATCGCGTTGACGCATGCACATAGGCGTTTACGTGTGCGCATAAGACCTTTACGGCTGCTAAAATTATCTAATTCAGTTAATGTTGCAGATTGCGTTGTTCCTTAATCTTCGAATTGGATCCGGCTTATTATTTTTTGCAGACTGTTAGAGCAATTTTATAAAAGTAAGCTTGAACTTTCGATTATATCAAATAGAATTTCCGATATATATTTACTAATATGTAAAGGAGATCTAAAGCGAAAGTATGTTTCGAAATCCGAAATCTGTTTATCAATTTCACGCTGCTCGGCAGGGGGAACGCCCCGGAGCGCAATGAATTGGAAGTTGATCTGTCAGCACTATCCTTATCTTCAGGGCAGATGTTTTTATTTTATTTGGCTTATAATTCCATACTAAATGTAGTATTTCATCTCAATGTACTCCGTCTTTGATATGATTTAAAACAAGTTAGTCGTCATTATAATTCGCTTCCGATAGTGAAGAAAGTGACCCAGAGGTTATTGAAAACGAAAAAATTTCGATTGACAAATTAGTCGGTATTCTCGACACAGCAATTATAGGACTTGAACAGCGGAACTTTGTAACTGAACAAGAAATTATGTCTGTTTAATAGAATTAAAGAGAAAGTATTATCACATGAAACGAAACAACTTACATTGAAAGAAATGTTTAATAAAGTAAACAAATAAATATTAAGCTTTTTCTTTTTGTAAATTTTGATACCCTTTAGATCATAATTGTTCTTTATTTCATAAATTACGGTTTCATATTTTTACTTTTGTAATTTCTGCATGCCATCTTACCAGATTTAAACTGATGATCTATAATCCGGAAAAATCGATAATCCGGAATCGCCGAAGTCCCGACGAGTCCGGATTAACGACTTTTGACTGTATATGCATTTTTAATGTTTTAACTAAGTATTTATCCCAAAAGCAGTTTCTAAACCTACTTACAAATGTTTTTACAATTGGTGAAAGAGATTCAATGCAACTATTTTCTTTAATGATTCTGTGGCATTATATTGCTTCCCTGCAGAAATGTTAACATCTGTGGACACATCCGGCAAACACATATTTAAAATTGAGCTTAAGACAAAAAGTATCATAATTTGTCTAAAACAATTGCTGGAACTTGGACTACAACAAAAAGAATACTTACAAAAATAGTGGTATTTCTTTATTAAAAACTTTATTTTCATGTGCATGGTTGCCAGAGTCTGAAACATTCTGAAATTTTGGTGATGTCTACTAAAATGGTTGCAATAAGTACCCATTTTTATACGCACACAGCAAAAGGTTATTATGATTTATCAGTAATAAATAAATACCATTGTTCCAAGTAGCCTAAAAATATCAAAACTGACAGAAACAAAAACATATTTAAATCTAGAAAAAGCTTTAAAATTTAATTACATCACATGCCAAAAAAAAGGTCCTAAAGCTTTAGTCTATGTAAACACAAATACATAAAAGTGCTTTAATATATTTTAAACGTTTTAGATTCCATTTATGGAAGACTTTAAAATGTTCTGCTAAATATGATCAATAAATATATTTCTTCTTATTCTTTTGATCTCATTCTTTTGATTATTGCAGATTTTCTGATTATCCAAATGTAAAAAATCAGCCATAATTTCAGTAAAAAATTAGCATAGTTCATAAATACTATAAAATCTAAAGATTTTTTATCTTAACAACTTGGTTAAGAATTTTCATAAAAAATTCAGCTTGGTCTGAAATGTTAAGAATACATTAATTGAAATTATTGTTTGAGTTTCTATTTTAGTTAGGACTTAACAGCCCTTTAAATCACAATAACTTTGAGTCCTCAAAAGCTCACTTCTGTAAATAAAATATGTTGCTGTCTTGAAAGAGCTTCATAAAACAAACTAAGTTATGAAAAACAGTAATAAATGCAGTTGCCGCTTGATAACACATGCAATCTTCATTTATCTCAGTCTGTTCCTGTTCTGATCAGAAATTTTTTTAATTACCAAAACATTTTCAAAGGAAAATAAGAAAAGAAAAACATGATCTAAACCAGAGATTCCCAACCATTTTCTTGCATCAACACCCTTTAAATGAACGGTTTATATTTTGCCCAAAAGTTCAATTTTAATTGATGCAATGGCTTGATGTATTGATGCAATTTTTTTTTTTAAGATTTGGCATAAAACTGTTTAATTCTTATAAATCACCTCATTATAAACTATTCAACCTGTTTCTTAAAACAGAAGGGATACAACCCAAAGTGAAACATAAAATTAGAAAAGCAACAGCCTTGTGAGTGGCGTAGATTTAGTCAAGAATTCAATCAATTTTGAAGGCAAACAGTATACATCCGTCTTCATCAGGAGCAAAGAAATCTGCATAAGCTGAAACTTAAATGATATTCTGTCTTGTATATTTTTTTCTCTGTTTTTATTTCAGATTATAAATTTGTTTTTGTCTTCGGTCTTGTTTCTTTCTTCCTCTATTCAATTTGTTTTTGGTTTAAAAAAAGCAAATGGAATTGCTTCATAAATTGAAACTTAAATGATTGCCTATCTTGTCCATTCTTTCTCTGTTTTCATTCCTATCTCTTCTTTAACTTAATTTTTGTCTTTGGCCTTGTTTCTGTCTATTCACTTTTGTTTGGCTTCAAAAAAAGCTGAAACTCAAATGATGGCCTGCCTTGCCTATTCTTTCTTTACCTTTAATCCAGTCCCTTCTCTAAATTTGCTTTTGTCCATGTTTTCTTTTCATGTGGAGGGGGGTTTCTCTTACTGCTACAACAAAGAAACACACAGCAAAGAAAAGTGCTCTTAGACACACAACCGAAGAAAGAGAAGACAAAACGGGATGCCATGCTCCAGCTGGTAAAGCAGGCAGCCCATCTTGAAGAACTTTAAATAAACTAATAATTATAAGCAAGCAGCCTTATGTTTCAAAACTGAATTTGTCATTTGTATTATAAAAAAAATAACCATCGATATTATACATATTAACTATTTATATTATATGTATAACTGTTGCATGTCATTTATATTACACATATTTCCATTTTGAAGCAATATCCCGATTATCTTCAAAGTAATCACTATATTGCTTCAAAGTAGTTTGAACAGTTGTACTTACCAAACAATGAATATCCATCAAATTCTTATGCTGAAAATTCAATGAAGTTAAATCACTCCTCACTAAGAAGTCTCTTTGGCCACCTCCTATTGATATAAGAGGTATATCTCTCAACTCTGTCTTCAATCTATATTTCCATGTTTCTTTGGTCTTTTGATAAAAATCTACTATGCCAGAATCCAAGGCAATAACTATAACAGAACAGGTACTCATAAAAATAAGCAAATACCTGCAATTAAACAACTTCAAGAAGAGATATATTCCAAGCATGAAATTTTTTCCTCTTATTCTTCACTGATAAACTTAGCTAATTTTAGCTAATTTAAAAATTATTACATGAATTAAAAGTTGCTTTACAACCGAGTTTAAGTTTTAAACAGCAATTTGAATCCTTTGTACTACAAATGAGCTTTCCATTAGCAGACACAGGATCTAGGCTTTTATATTACAAAATAAAAATATCAAAACTGTGAAATTATATTTATCAAAAACAGACATTCCTTGGCAATTCCTTCTAAATAAATTATGTACTTTTGTCTCAAAATGTTATATGTAAGGGCATGCTCTAAATTTACAATAACAAAATAAAAAAATTTTCAAAAGTATTTTTTATTTTTCAGAAAAAGATTTCATAGCCTAGCAAAGAATGTGAATATATATTTTTATCGTCAGTAGAAATGCATATCCTGATTTAATTTAATTTATATTTTCCTGATTTTTGTGCATTTGCCAATTCATAAACAGGCTTTTTTTTTATTTTAATTCTCTCATTACACTAGTCATCTAATGTAGAATCCTCTCATGTTCTGGGAGATGTGAAATCCATTTATTCTTATTATTTATTGCAACTTTTTATTGTGATAATTTTTGCATGAATTTTATTTTTATAAAACATTGGTTTGTCTTAGAATTTGGAACAGGCCTCATTTACTAATTATTTTAACAGTAAGTTTTGCATTTGGGGAGGGGGAAGTGTGTCATTTCATTATTCCAATAGTGAATATTACTTTGTTTATGTTTTGAATTTAATAAATACATTTACATATGAATGTAGGTGAATGCGAGTTTATGAATATGCATACATTTATACATATAAACACATATTTGAACTCAAAAGTGAATATCTCAGAGAATAAATTACTAGTTACATAATTTCAGTGCTTCTGAAAAGAACAACATTTATGCTTTCAATATCTTAAATTTTCATTGCAAAAATTTTTAATTTACAAAAAAAATTTAAACAAAACTTACAGCTAATTTCGTACATAATGAAGCACACAATTTTTCAAAACAACTGACAGAAAATAAGCAATGTTAAATGAAACAAAGATTAAAAACTACCAACATTAAACTTTTCTTTTTCCACAATTAGCAATTTCTTAGTTTTAAGCAACTGACAGCATTATTATTGTACTTCTTTCTGGGTATATGAATTTAAAAACTATACCAACAAAATACATAACTATAAAAACACTACAGTTTTATGAAGGGTACTTTCTGACTATCGACACATCTCTGAAAGGTTCCCAACCTGCTGCCACCTAATTTTTCACCAATTAATACACAAAAAGCAACAGCCATTTTGAAAATTGTAGTGCACTAAGAATTCCATATAAAAGCAAGTGATCAAAAAAATTTAAAAAGCAAGAACTATTCTGTAATAAAACATTTCCTTGTGCAATTGTTTTGGGGGGGCAGGGTGTTATTCTTTCTATGCCATATATACAGCAATCTGTTGTTCTTGCCATGTTCACAGAATTTTTTGTTTTTTAAAAAAAGGTAAGAGGATTACATACATTTGCCGCTGGCACAAAAATTTTGATCCATAAAATCTGATCGTTTATGAAGTACGTACAATTTCATGTAATGCAAATTTCAGCATTCTCTACCATTGGGCAAAATGCCGTATTTTTGAAGAAACGAAATGCTTTCTTTTTCATCAGTTAGCAAACTCCATAGTATCATTACAATTCCTTAAGTAAGAAAAAATACATGCAATACAACAAAAACAAATACTTGACCACCAAATTTGAAGGTGAAAATCTGTGCTCATCAGCTGTGTATGCACATACATGCTGTGTTACCACATAAATACATTTTAGGCACATCATAGGCTGCTTATCGTAACAACAAAGCACACTAAAATTATGAATACTTTTCAGGAGGTGCAGAGTACCTCAAAAAGTTCAGCTAATTATTCATTATGCCTATAATGGAATATTGAAATTTGGTGAATATTTTGATAGAAGTTCCAGCAGTTTTCAAACAACAATAAGAATTTAATGAAGCTGCAATTTCTCTTCTACAAATAAATAACTACTTAGGTCAATTTTATTATATTCATATACATGCTATCAATATTAAACCAGTATGTGAGGGAGCAATGCTTATAAATAATAACAATTTTTCATGCATATTCTTACCTGGTTCCTTGTGTGGTGTTGCTAAAGTCAAAATAAGTGAAATGGCAGAAGAATCAAATTTTGGTATAGAAAACACGGCTCTAGCTATCATGCCTCCCTAAGACAATAAAATGTATTAATTATGAAGAAGATATAAAATGCATGTAATATAATAAGAAATAATATAAACATGAATAAAATTTTTATAGTTAAGGAAATTATGTTTGGCCATTTCTCAGTTCACGTATCCATTTAGGCACTATTATATCTCATTTAAGTTTTGTAATGCAGTCAAACTCTGCTGTAACGTATTGTACCCAGTTTAAAATGAACTCTTGGATATAATGAACAAACCTTTCAGTTTCAACCAATTCCATATAGACTTAATGCTATTTTAGCTACAAAAATCTGGCATAATAAATTTTGTGGACTGATTTTTTTTTTTTTTTTTCCTTTTACAAACTCATTTCTGAAATTGTTGCAATTTTCAATGAAAAATTATTAATGATTAAATTCAATTTGTTTAGGGTTATTAGAATAACGGAAAGACACCTTTAGGTTACTGATCTTTTATCTTCACCCTCACCTTTATCTGTGTTCTAAAACAATGGATATATGAGGCTAGTGTAGCAATCAGTTCTTGGAAAAAGTAGCACTCACACAGCAAACATACCTCAGAACAGTGATTTCAAACTCAGACTACATGCAAGTCAAATGCACAACCTGGAAATAGCTGATGGGCTAAATATTTATCAAAACATACATGAACAATAATATGAATATTGCAAAGGAAAAAAATTTAATTTGTATTTATTTTACATTTGAAATATAAAGGAAATACAAATATACCTGCAAGACATGTTTGTTGGTTACATTTTGTCATTCAAATATTTTGATAGCTAAATACAGTCAAAAGTCGTTAATTCGGACACCCATAATCCGGACATCAAAGCTACAAACTTTCTGCGCATGCGGCGCGTTTACACATATGCGCATAGGCGTTTACGCGTGCGCGTAAGACCTTTACGGCTGCAAATATGCGTGTGCACATGTGCATAATACGTTTACGCGTGCGCGTTTAATGTATAACGGACAGTATAAGCTAAGCTAAAATTTTTTAATTCAGTTAATGTTGCAGATTGCGTTGTTCCTTAATCTTCGAATTGAATTCGGCATAATTATTTTTTGCAGACTGTTAGAGCAATTTTATAAAAGTAAGCTTGAACTTTCGTTTATGTCAAATAGAATTTCCGATATATATTTACTAATATGTAAAGGATCTACAAAGCAAAAGTATGTTTCGAAGTCCATTAAAAAAGAAAGTGGAATTGCTGCAAAAAATGGATAAAGGCATATCCTTTGATTATCTAATTATTCCGAAATATGTTTATCAATTTCACGCTGCTCTGCGGGGGGAGGGAAACGACACGGCGCGCAATGAATTGGAAGTTGATCTGTCAGCACTATCCTTATCTTCAGAGCAGATTTTTTATTTTATTTGGCTTATAATTCTTTACTAAATGTAGTATTTCATCTCGATGTACTCCGTCTTTGATATGATTTAAATCAAGTTCCTCGTCATTATAATTTGCTTCCGATAGTGAAGAAAGTGACCCAGAGGTTATTGAAAACGAAAAAATTTTGATTGACAAATTAGTCAGTATTCTCGACACAGCAATTATAAGAATTGAACAGCGGAACTTTGTAACTAAAGAAGAAATTATGTCTGTTTAATAAAATTAAAGAGAAATTATTATCACATGAAACGAAGCAACTTAAACAACTTACATTGAAAGAAATGTTTAATAAAGTAAACAAATAAATATTAAGCTTTTTCTTTTTGTAAATTTTGATACCCTTTAGATCATAATTGTTCTTTATTTCATAAATTACGGTTTCATATTTTTAATTTTATAATTTCTGCATGCGATCTTACCAGATTTAAACTGATGATCTATAATCTGGAAAAATCGATAATCCGGAATCGCCGAAGTCTTGACGAATCCGGATTAACGACTTTTGACTGTATTGAATTATGAATTTTGCTAAAGATTGTGAACTCTGAGAGAAAATTATTGTCAACATAAATTGAAGATGCTCGTCAGTCAATGGGGTCTTTTCTTAATAATTTTCATAAGTGAAAAATGCTGTTTGCACATAAATGTATTCTTAAACAAAGTGATTTTCTTAGTAGGAAAATTTGTAACTGAGCTATTTTTGATAGAAGTTAATAAAAATAGTATCTTCAAATCTTTGAATAATAATTATATCACACTGTAAATTAATTAGCTCTGTAGATTTCCAGGAGCATTATTTATGATTATTTTTAAAGAAAATAATGTAAATCTAGACTTTAAATAACTTAAATCTTGAACTATTTCTAACACCATATTTGCATCAAATACATAACTGAAATGTTGAACCACATCCAGCTCAGGGCCACCAATTTGTGAATACTGCCTTAGGGGATCCTATTGTGTCTTGCCTGGAGCCAAAGAATCATGGATCCCTCAAGACAAACAGATGTAATTAGATTTTAGATTCGAGTTTTTCAACTGAGCTGTAAGACAGTATTCTGTTTGAGGCTGATACTTGTTCGTAATTGTAAAAGTATATTTTAGATGAAAATGTGTGATTGGAGGGACGGGTGTAAACTACAACTTTTATGCTAAGCAACTTTTCAAATAAAATTATTAACGCATAGTGAAAGTGAAAAATAATGAAAAAGAAAATTTAGTAATTGCATATAATAATAATTGTAATTAACTTTTAACATTTCCTTTTAAACTGAAGCTAAAATTGACATCTGTTTTGTTATGATTAGGCCAGACAAATGAGATAATCCCCAGCAATATAAAATAGGAAACCTTCTGGAAGATGTGACAATGCTAGTCAATTTTTCTGGTTGATGCAGCAATAAATTTTTACACTATTTTGTGAGATAATCCATTTTTATAAAAGTTTTGGTCTCTTGAAATCTGTTACAATAGGATTTGAATGTAATAACTACAAAACACTATGTACTATTATACTAATGTAACTAATTCCATGCAATGTTTTTCAAGGATAGATTTTTAAAAAGTTTAACACTGAGGATTTTCCCCAATAAAAAAATGTTATAACTAAAGAATGAAATACTTTATGGAACAAAAAATGGATTTATGTTAAAAGTTCATACACAAAATACAGTCCTCTTGGCTATGTTTCCAAGGAATAACAAATTTGTTATTAATGGTTGATATTAATAACTAAATTAATAGTTATAATTTACTGATTTAAATTATAACTTACTGATGATAAATATGATATAATTAATGACAGTTTCGATATTTCCAATCTCTCTGAAGTGTACCATTTCAAAGTTAATCCCTGTTGTATGATTCTTGTATAACCTAAATGACTTAGAAATTGGCAAAAAGCAAAGCTAAGGTCTTTTATTCATTAGCATTGAAAAGTATTCAAACCAAAACTTTCAATCAAGCAACAGTAATTAAGCAACAGTATGTTATACTGCTGGAAAAAAATAGTAATTTCATCACACTAAATTTCACATCAATGGCATAATCTTTGCTCTACTAATGCTTGCCTCTGGCTTGGCAGTATTCTCCATTTCTATTCTTGTTCCAATTACAGTTCCGTTAATATGTGGAAAGCATGTTTAAATTATTAGGTGTGCACCCATTTCTTTGCCTGTATTCTTTTTTCTGTTTCATTCTATAAATTACATCAAAAATAAAGATATCAGAAGTCCTTAAACTGTCTAGAGGCTTAGCTAATGAAGTCCTTAAGCTTAGCTAATAAACCCTTCACGAAAAGGAGGATTATGGGATTAGTACACTGTGCACAGAAAAATGGCATTCCGCAAAGTTAACTTTCAATGGAAAAAATATGTATGCTATTCTCCAAATTAATAAAGTACATATAACTCACACAAACATAATATTATTGTAATTAAAAGAAAAAAATAAATGAAAGGATTCTTATTACTGCTTAACAGTTGCATGATACAATTCATTTTTTAAAAATGCTGTTGATTTTAGCTCATGACAGACACTGATGCAACTCTTTAATAGTTTCATGGTATGGAACATAGAGTTTTCATAGCATCTCGTAAAGTGTCCACTTCTTTCTTCATTTGAGTCAATAATTGATCACAAAATCAGACATATTCTGTGCCTTTTTTAAAAATTTGTTTATCTTTTTGCAAGTCAAAAGCATTTCATCTTCTCCACAATCACAGTTTTAACCACTGCTGGTGCTATACAATCAACCAATTCTTCATTTGTCATTACTGGATTAATTCTTTTACTCCCCCCCCCAATATCTCAGAATCCTTCTTTGCCAATTGTTTTCACAAATTGCATATGATTTCTTTGTCCTCATTTTCAATTGAAGGAGACCCTTTAAAATTATTGACTATTTCTGGCCACAGCTGATGCCAACAAGCATTTACAGTTGATGAATTCAGTTGTTCCCATGCAAGTTTAGTCATTTCTTGTAATTTTATCATGTTGAATTGCTTCGAAAATGCCAAATGTACATGTAGGTGATCTCCCATAAAGAACTTGTTGCTGCAGTAATGCATTAAGTTAACACGCATATGCAGAGTCACGTTCCTCGAATTAATGCTCAGCAAAGAAATTCATAGAGAAAATTATTAGCACTTCGAATTGTATTATTACAGATGTGTGTGTGAGAGGAAGATAGTAATAAGTTTTGAAATATAACTAAAAAATTATTTGTAATATGAGATTATTTGATAATTTATTAAATATTAACATACCATGGAATGGCCAATCAATATTAATTTCTTCTTCGATGGATACAGACTTTGAATATGCTTTACACATTCATGGAGAAATTCTAAAGATGAAAATGAATATATTAATCACAATTATTACAGAAGCCATACACTTCATTAATTTAAAAATGAGTACATTATTACACATAAGTCACACAATAATTTTAACTTAGAGAACAGTAATTTACATATTTTTTTAAATATACTACTTCATAACAAAGAACAGTGCAAATATTTAGAGATTTATTGTCACAATATTCAGTAGCTTACAATGAAGATTATATATGTTTGATTGTAAAGAAATATAGATTCATAAAAAATAGTATATCAAATTCAAAATATTGCATTTATAAATGTGACAAATTATTATCAGTTTTCCAGAGATATCACATGCATTTTCATAAAAAATAAAAGTCATTATTTCAATATACATTATATTTTTATAATTATTAATAAATTTTATGTTCATTAAGTTTTTATTAATTATAAATTTATTAAAGATTACTTCCCATGTTTTATGAAATGCATAAAAATTTAGATCACATATGATCGTGACTTTGGCTCTGAAACTTCCTGCATTTGAGGGAATATTACGAAAATCATTCATAAGAAATCACAGCTATTTTGAATAAATGTTTAAAATAACCATAAACTACATATTCTAATTTTAATTAATTCAGTTTTTTTACTATCACATAGTTTTTTCATTTTATTTCTATAAATCAGGCTTATTATTTTTGTTACTAAAAAGCCTACAAAATTTAGTTACATCAGCTAATAAAACCATGATGTGTGCTTTAGTTTTCTAAAATATTAGCAAGTAAAGAATAAAAATTATCAAGATAATTTATAGTTTATGAAATCCAAGCATTGTCTCACCCCAAATTTTGCAGTTTTCAAATCGATGCTCGCTTTCCTCTAATTATTTTGTTACTGCAGATACAGAGTGATCTCAATTGAAGAAGATGTTTAAATATGGTCTTTTCTGTTCCTATTCTAATGTTCTAGCAAGTGTTATGGCATAATTTTTGTTTCAGTGCATTGAGAAAAAGTGCAGAACATAAAAGTTTATTTTCATCATTTTATGCCCTTTTGCTTTTAAAAAGGGGGTAATGGCATTCAGACCACTCGCAAAATTTGTGCTTTGTATGCAAAATATGCTCTTGCTAATGAACACAGTTAGAAAGTGGTTTCAGAAAGTTAACTCTGGAAATTACCGCCTCGAAGATGATGGCCTAAATTTCTACATTATACAGTTTATGAACCATCAGAGAGAACACATATTCTAAATAGAAGAGAACATGATCATTTGAAGAACACTGGATATGCAAGCCGCTACAATGTATGGGTACCCCATACTTTAACAGAGCAGAAAATGAACTTTTTTTAATAGAGCCAAAAAAGTTTCGGTATGCAATTCTTTACTGAAAAGGAATAAAGAAGTTATGTGTTTGAAATACCTCATTACAGAATATAAGAAATGGATATTGTGCAATAATGTTACAAGAAAAAGATCATGGGATAAACCAAATGAACCTCCTTTCATAACATCAAGAAAGGGCCTTCATCAAGATAGAAAGAAAAATTTAGTGAAAAAACAGATGATAATATATAGTTTTTATGTAAAAAAAAAAAAAGATTTTAAATGTAGTGCATTCATGTTAAAAATAATAAACATGTACTTATTAACAATATAACATTCTCAGGTTTGATTATTTCCCACCTTTATGTTATTTCCCACCCCCATCCAATTGAAACAAAAGAATTTAAATTCCATTATACCATCTAAATTACTGATGCAGCATCTTATGAAATAAGCCAGTGGTCGCAATCCATATGGTATATCTCAAAGCAATCCATCAGCTGCTTAGAGATATACAGCTGATATGAGCTCTCCGGCCTGTCAGCTACTTTAAATGCACATTTCAAAGGAGTTGATTAGCCAGAATTTTTTAATAATAAAATATAAGTTTTTTTTGCTTAAAAAATAAATAAGTATCAAAACATAAATAAACAGTAATAATAATGACACAAGAAAAAAATTCATGCTTTTATATTCTAAAATATAAAAGTTGGTATCTGCAAGAAATTTCTATTGGTAATTCAAGCACACTGAGAGCTAAATAGTAAATTTTCAAACTGACAGCTGTTTCAAATTACTCAGATATGTTGATTTAACCACTAAATAACTTACTTAAACTAAAACTAATTACAAAATCTTTAGAAGTCACACAAAACTTCAAAATAAATGATAACAACCTATGCTCTTTTATTTATGAATTTTTGCATGAACATATACAGAAAAAATATATATTTTTGTATGCAAATAATTACCAATTTCCTTCTTTTTCATTACAGTATTCAGTTACTATACCTCAATGCATTCCGGTTTTGATAAAATTTGTAACCTGGGCGAAAAATGACTAAAAATTTCATTACGAATTGTAGATAGTTATCAGACAATCTGGTTCTTTTCTTAGACTAGTTAATTTTCAACTGGGAATAAAAAAAAAAAAAAAAAGGTTGTTTACATATAAATGTATTTCTCAAAGCAATTATGCTTACTGCAAAAATTCATAATTCAGCATATTTATATTTTCACCGGTATGAAGAAAAATGAATTAAACCTGTATCTTCAAATCTTTTAGTAAGATTTATATCAGAGTGTAAATTAATTAGCAGCATTCACAGATTTTTGGGGCGTTACTCACATTTGTTTTTTAAGGGTAATGAAAATAATGTAAACACAGTTTGGAACTATTTCCAAGAAAAGGTCAATACCTTGCTCTAATAGCCCTTTAAATCAATCAAATCTTTGATTTTCAGAATTATTTTACATCTTCGTGCACTACCTTCATTGATAAGAATCTGAACCTACCAAATACTAAAAAGTTACCATGCAGACTACATTTGGATATACTGACTTTTCCCTCAAAATGAAACATTTTAATATTCAAAACAAAAACATATTTTAAAAATTTACTTCTATAAAAATATATATGAGGAGTAATTTTTCTTTAAAGAAAATTACTTCACATTTTAAACAAAAAGTATTTTTTTAAAAGTTATTCAAAATGAAAATTTGCACATAGTCATTAAATTCAATGACAATACTGATAGCACAATGATCTATTCTAAAATGATAATGTAATGAATATAATAAAAGACATAAAACTAACTGTTTTGACATAAAATAATATTACCCATTTGGTCATTTAGAACTCCGCCATATAAACCAGATATTTCCTAGAATAAAGAAAAGAAAATTTTTCTCAAATATTATTATTCAGTATATTATTATTCAGTTCTCAAATATTATTATTTAGTCTTGAATGGCAGAAATCCTATTCAAGAATAGAAAATACTATGTACACTATAATGCAAATGCAGTTATTGATTAATATGCCCCACAGTGGCATATAAGTAATTGTCTGTTTCTTCTAAACATGTTCAATTAATCAATAATTAATTTAGAAGGCAAACAACAAAAATCAGCATTATATTTGCAAATTTTTTCAGGACTAGTTTTGATGATTTTACCGAACCATCACCAAAGTGCAAATGAACAAGATAGGACAAGGTGAAAAGATAAGATAAGAATGGCTGGACAGGAGTTAAGCTACTGGAACCATCTATTGATAAAACAAGAAAACTAAACATAATTTCCTTAAATGTTAAAGGTAAAGATGATTGGAATTAGGGTCATTAACCAGAATAGAAAGATTTTTTTGAATGTCAAAACATTGGAAAAATTTCACACTGAAAATGAATACAAAACAAAATGATCTAGAAAGCACAAAATCAGATAAGTAAAGCCTGACATCAAATAAGAAAAATTTAAATGTGTAAACCATAAATCAAACTTAAAAAATTGGAAAAACACATACCGAAACTCATACAATCACAAAATAACAAACACACCACATTGAAAAAAAAGGAAACAAAAAATAAGCCTGCATTTGTTAAAATAACACGCTGAACAAATATTTATTTAGAAGACAAACAAATTATCTCGTTCATTTGCACTTTGGCAGCTGAGGTTGATGGTTCAGTAAAATCATCCAAAGTAGTCCTGTTGAAAATTTGCAAATATAACTCTGATTTTTTTTTTTTTTTTTTGTTTGATTTCTAAATTAATATTTGTTCGACAATGTTATTTTAACCTAAATTAATCAATAACTGTTCATGGTCTTTTGAACTCACGTTCTACTGTAAGGTCATAGTCTGCAAGTTTAACAATGTAGTAATAGATTGAAGATATTTTTCTGAACTAGCTAATTTTCCTGAAAAAATTATGCAAGTTTGAAAGAATAAAATCTTGTGTATGTAGTTGGTAATAATGCCTGATTTCATGTATCAAATCATGCATTTAATTTCTGGCAATAATCATGCAATGAGTTTTGCTTCAAAATGTATTACATTCTATTTGTTAAATGCTGCAATATACAGTGAAGTATAATTTACATGCTTCTCATTTATGTGTTTTCTATATGTATATCCCATTTCCTCTCTATCCAGGTATCCACACCACCTACTCTTGTATAATTGAAATGATGTATAATTGAAAAACAAAATATATATGTATATTTCAATTATACATCACATAGTGTCAGTTACATTGAATGTTTCCTTGACTTAAGGTATTTATTTATTTTAACTAACCACGTGGTTTATGTTGCATATCTTTACTGTCACTTTTCCCTTTCCGTTTTTCTTCTGGAATACAAATTTTAGCTCATGCATATTAAAGTAAGGGTTTAAGATTAATTTAGAAATCAAACAAAAAAAAATCAGAGTTATATTTGCAAATTTTCAACAGGACTATTTTGGATGATTTTAGCGAACCATCAGCCTCAGCTGCCAAAGTGCAAATGAACGAAATAATTTGTTTGACTTCTAAATGAATATTTGTTCAGCGTGTTATTTTAACAAATGCAGGCTTATTTTTGCTTCCTTTTTTTCAATGTGGTGTGTTTGCCATTTTGTGATTGTATGAGTTTCAGTTAGTCAGAGCATGTTACACCTGCTGAGGGCCACATTGCTAGTTGATATTTTCTGATTGCATTACTGTGTACTGCACTGCTTTAATCTTGCAAATAGTGACGTAGGTTTGAGCTGAATTGTACATTAAATGTTTCTTTGTAACCTCTGGCTAACTTAACACTTAGCTTTCATTTGATAATTCTTATTCTACTTATCTTTTAATAATTCTATATTTTTGAGTTTATGGCATGAATACTGTCTCAGTGTAAGCATACTGTTTGTAAGCAGCAGAAGTGCCTTCTGTTCAACTACTTGAGTTCTAAATAAAAGGGTCTTTTACGTCATTCTTATGTTTTTGTTTGTGTTCTAGACATGGCAATAAGTCATACAGTTCTAGTCAGAGTCTTGACTTAGAGTATGTTACCAAAAAGAGCAAGACTCTTAAACTTATTTATTTATGTTTCTTTTTGCAGTTGAAACAGTTTTGCTGTACATAATGTGTATCTCTTGATATCACATGGAATTTACATTGTCTCTTTCCAAAAATTCTGTGGTTTTTTTTCCAAATTGAAGTGTGTTTTCTTCTAATTATTTTGTTACTACTGAAACAGAATGAACCCGAGTGAAGCAGATTTTAAATACAGTCTTTTCTGCTCATACTGCATAATTTTAGCATGTGTTGTGGCATAATTTTTTTTTTTTTTTTTTTTTTTTTTTTTTTTTTTTTTTTTTTTTTTCAGAGCAGTGCTAACAATGGGGAACACAAATGTTCATTTATTTTCCCTTTTATTTTAAAAAATGGGAGGGGGAGGAATATTAGTTTAACTGCAGGTAAAATTTGGATTAGATATGGAAAAATTACTATATCTAATGACACAATTCAAAAGTGGTTTAAAAATTCCAAGTGCCGAAATTTCAGCCATGAAGATGATGCCTGTTCTGGGTGATCATTCTCTGCATACAAAGACCTATCAAAAGAATATATTGGTGAAAACTGAAATTACACAGTTCAAAAACTATCAGACAAAATATAATTTAAAAAAAAAAAGATTGCCTATGTTAAGTCACTAACATATATAGGGTACTCCAGAGCAGAATATCCTTTCTCAAGTTTCAGCATGTGATTCTTTGCTGGAGGAAAAGAATACAGATGCAACTTGTTTTTTTTTTTTTTTTTTTTTTTAAAAAAAAAGGGCTGGATATAAAAAGCAGACATCAGGGACTGCATCTCCCCAAAAGTTAAGTTTGTGAATGACGGGACTACGGAGTAATTGTAAACGATGAATTGTTGCCCAGAAATCAGACCATAAATTCAGAAAAATACTGTTTCCATACGGCAGTTTTAAAAGCAAAAATTGAAGCAAAGTGCCCAGAACTGACAAATTTTCAAAATGTTGCCTTCCAACATTACTATGCTCAGTCTCCCATTTCAATGAATCTCAGGCAAAAATTTACTAAATATGGCTGAGATGTTTGAGTGGAATTCTCCAACTGCCTGTGAGATGGCAAAAAACATAAAACAAAATGCAATTCATGAAAACTTCTTATGATTTATATTGCTTTATTTGTATCTGTCATAAAATCCACAAAACGTTTCTGATAACCCAATATATTGAGATACAAGAAAAAAGAAAAACATCATCTCATATTGGAGAGAGAGTCAAATACGGATGGTGGTTGGAAAAAGCTCACTTTGAGAGATAGAATAAATAATAAAGTTTGCTGACTCGGCCGGTCTGCTGATGAGAAACCTCTCATTCATGTTAGATGATAAGCACAATTTACCTGAAGTGCTACTTTCCTTTTGTGCTGTTAGCATTTTGATTGACTCAAAATCAAATGGCATATCAGGTACCATTGGGAAAAATGTTTTTAGAAAAACTTAAAATCTGCATGAATATTATAATTTTCCTTTAAAAAAGTGTTATTTACCAAAGAACTGAAATAAAGAGGCCCCTGTTCACATTTTCACATAAGAAACATTTTCACATAGCTTGAATTTTTATAGTTTTAAAAATGAAATGCATAAAATTCTTTAAATTACAAACACTATTAAAAAAAAAGAAAGAAAGAATAATAAATTTTAATTTGCATGACAGTAATATAATAATAGTATAGTAATGACATTAAAATTATACACGAGTATCATATTATCAAACCAAAATTTCAATTTTACATCTTTTATGAATGGTTTATAAACAGTTACTTGAAAGCTACGTAAAGATCACTTTGCTATTTTTCACATTTGTTATTTTTTATGGGTGTCTATGATTCACCAAACAAGAAAACTATCAGCTTTTTTCTCATTCATGAAATAATGCTAAAAAGTCCAAAATATTTTAATTCTCATACATGAATTTCAGCACTTGAATTAAACTCAAGGGACAACACTGAAAAAGGGGAAATAGATAATAAGACACAGCAGGAAACTAATTGAACTGGAACTACAATAATATTTATAACAGCCATATGAATTATGTATTGGAGTGAATAGAGTTTATTAAAATAATGAAGAACCTGTACGCATGTATGTATGCATGGATGGATTTATGGATAGATTCATATGTATGTATAATTTTCACATTGCAGAAAAACAGCAGCACATGCAGACACCAAATTTACAACATTCATTTGTCCTTCACCCCGAAACATCGTGTACATGTGTACCTTGAAGTCAAAATTACAAATTTGTTTTTTTATTTACTTCTTATTTTGTACAAACTTAATGTCATTTTGATTAATGAACTTGACAGTTTAAAAGCAATATGTAGCCACTTAGATTATCATAAGATATTTAAGTTTCAAATTTAATCAAAATATTCAATGATTTAAAAGAAATGTGCGGCTGGCCATGCAAGTGATTGGTTAATCAAATTTTACCTTTCAAAGTATTAACATTTTAAAAGTCTGCATTGAAAAAAGAAATAAAGAGAGAATCAAAATTTCTAGTACCCACATACCAGCTGAATTTACCTTGAGACCAAGGGACCAAATGAAGATCCTAAATGCAGAAAACACACAAGTACCAAAAAATGGTTTCTTAATATTACATAACAAGAATTTATTAATCATGCTTGAAAATGTTCTGATAAGAATAAAAAGGGTGACCTTTTTTGAATTGTGCTTGAATAATATAAAACTATACATCTTAAGTGCTTTCACAGAATCCACTTAACTTTGGTATTCATGTAGCAAACATCTCTCATGAGGGGGGTCTAACAAATCATCAAAAAGGAGAAAAAGGAAACAAAATATATATCTGA